AAATTCGCTTGCGCAACCACACGCTCGTCGGAGATCACGATCCTACCTGTTTTAGTGACAACGGTACGCGCAGGAAATATTTTTTACCGACTTTCTCCTGCCGTAACGCCGAAATAACCGTAAACGCACGTCGTAAAAATCCAATTAGTTTTCAAATTGAAAAATCCATCGCGGTAAATGGATCAAGTACAGGTACAATTATACAGTTGGTGAAAATTAAAACGAATTTTGTGCCCGGCAATGAATTTATAACACGTTTTGTTATTAATAGCACCAATTCCTGCGATAACATCAGCAACAACAACCGTCTCGACTATCGCCCAATGAGATCATGACATACCTGATGTTCGGCGAATATATGAATCGAAATGGAGGAAAAAAATTATTAAAATACATAATAAAAAAAAAACCGGTTTCGCGGTTAACGCAGGTATAACGATCGGTGTCGTAACGACGGTGCATTTTACACGAAAATAATGGCAGTTGACAATTTTATTTTCTATGACCTGCAGGGCTATTTGCGCTCGGCGCGGAATCGCCGGCGCATTTTATTCGACCCTAATCTGATTTATGCCGGACCACTCTCAATTTAGGTACCGTTTTAACTAATTCGATGTGTATTCGCTCTTTGGTTTGAATTACTTTGTTTTGCGCTTTTTGCGTGGCAAAAGAAATGCTTTTATGCTGCCCGTTTCCCTCTGTAGTTCCATTAAAATAAGGGTTGCTATGTTTTATAAATACCTTAAAAATTTTATTCAAATTAACGTAGCAAATTTTACTGTTTAATATCGATGAATTTAATTAACATGCGCTAATTTTAATGCATGACTTTTCATTACTAAACAAAACACAACTAAAATAATGCTATCGAACCGAATTAAATAACATACATTGTAATAGTAAAATTCGAATTCAATATACATCATTAAAAAAATTCTAAATGAATATATTTACATCAAAAATTACCGTTATTAACGTTATTATTACCTACTTATTATCCGCGTAATTATTCAATTAATCCGTTAAATTTTTTTTTTCGTAATCGAGAAACTATTCGACTGCGTGGATTATGTCATGTCGAATTTTTAGTTCGAATCGAACGATTTGCATTTCGATAAAATAAAGCAAACGGTCGTCGGGCGACGGACTAAAAATACTCGAACGCCTTGTCTCATAAATAATTATAATTCGGCGCCCGGAAGTCTGCGGAGGGGTTTTTCATTGAAACTTTCCACGATTTTATGATTTGTTCGGGGGCGCCGTAATTACCCCTTAAGTATTAATTATACGAGATATAAACGCAGAAATAATAAGGGCGAATGTACTATCCGGTTGTCGGGGAATTAATGGCCGATTCATGATTGATAACGCGAACGCGGAGAAAACTTTCGACGTATTCGTTATCGCTCTAAAAGGTGAATTGGCGTATCATGAAATTTTCCAATGGATTTGGTCGTTTTTATTAGCGATGCTTATCAAACTTTGAAATGGAAATAAATTAGATCGGTTCATACGTTGATTATTCGCATTGTGAATACAATGCTTGAATGGTTGCTTATTAGATAAAACGTACAGGGTGATTCAATTTGTTTCGTATAGGTTTTTATGTGCAGGTATTTACATAAGTGCTGGTTTTAGTTCTTTGATGCATAGCAACTCCATATAGACTTGAAGGTCGAGTAAAGCATGCTAATGTTATATAAAATCTCAAATTTACGATTTTACATTTGCATTAAGATTTGTGGAATATTCGTGACGAAGCGACGTTTCTATCGAATTGGCAAGAGATCATAGAGTAAATTTGTGTATCTACAGGATTTTCCTCAGTAACCGTTCATTAAAAAACCCTGTATATTAAAACTCAGATCCGATAAACAGAAATTATATTCTCACTATTTAAAGCATTAGAAAACACCTTATCGGCATGTAGCAGTTTCAGATTAAATCGACTATATCGTTTAGAACAAGGTGAGTACAAAACTTGGTCCCGGTTCGGAATTATATTCAAATGTATTCAAGAAATGAAAAGGTTTCGGAGTGATTTAAAGCGACGACGAGGTGCACTCTTAATTATGTCTGAGCACATTCGAGGCAACTAATAAGGCGTGAAACGTTTCGCCGTTTACAGTAAAGCAAACGGGCCGTAGGTCGGGAGAGAGAAAAAAAAAAACGCCGTCCGATTTCGACTTGGTAATTTCACTGAACCAGAAAGCGTCGAAACGTGGGTTAACGTGCATTTGTTCCGAGCCGCTCGTCGAGAAAACGTGTCAAGTAATACGTTGGCTAGTTAATCTTTAATCTTAACTGCGAAGTTTCTGTGTCAGTTATTGAGATCTACCGATCCCCTGCTTTCCTTGAAAACCAAATGTTCCATAATAAATGCGCATCCTATCCGCTTCTGTCGAAGATCTACGGCCTAGTTTACGGGGGTAATTTTTAGTTCAAACGACTTTAAAAACCGCGCATATATTTTTTTTATTACAATAGGTTTGTTCCAAGCGGCATGTTCCAAATATGTTATGAACATTTATGTTATGTAGGTATATTGTATGAACGTAATTTTATATTTGCGAATTTTTATTTGATTTGTAGGGTGTTTTTTTCGTTTAAATTTTACTAGTAAATTTGAAGATTTTTCTGTTTTTTACAAGATTTTCAAGAAGATAAATTTGATGATTTTCTAGATTTTCTATTTTTTCAAAATTAGACGATTATTTAGATGATTTTTTTAAAGTTTTAAGTGTAATCTTTGATGATGACAAATTTTCAGATGATTTTACAAGATTAGAAATGTTAAATTGATGATTTTTAGACCATATTTCTAAATTTGATAAATTTTCAGATGATTTTACAGAACTTTAAATATAAACTTATTTTTTAGACTATTATTCTAAATTTGATAAATTTTCAGATGGTTTTACAAAACTTCAAATATAAACTTAATTTTTAGACTATTTTACTAAATTTGATAAATTTTCAGATGATTTTACAAGAAAATAAATGCAAATTTGATGATTTTTAGACTAGTTGCAGACGATTTTACAAGTAAATTTGCCTTCTTTAAGAAACCATTTAAAAATTGTGCTATATTGCAATAAAAATGCTCATTTTCAAAGTGAAACTTATTAAAAACAGCTTAAATCTTTGCAGACGCTCAACATTTTCTCAAAAAAGCAAAAAATATTCGCATTGCGCATGCGAATTAACTCCAGAACATCCCGCTGCAACAAACCTATCTATTAACAAACGTTAAATTCGCCGAACAAACGTTCCGTTCGTCAAATTACTCAACCGATTAAATTCGAATTGAAATTAACATTCCGAACGTTGTTCTGGTTATTTAAAAATTTCGCCCGCACGACCGACGCTTATTTTAACAGCTCCTACTCCAATCCGAACCATTCCCAACATGTGTTTCGTACCGTTCTCAAGTTTATTCACATTGGTAGACGCGCTCGCATCTAAACACACACACGCCGGTCTAAAAATAATTGAGGAACCCTTCATCAAGGCCTTCTGTGGACGCGTATTTGTGTTTGGGAATGCTCGTTTTTAAGTTCAGAAAGAAACGGGGAATGCAGAGAGCCCTGCCAAGGGAACAACCGACGAAATTTCGAGAAACCAGACCCGCTTGAAATTAAATATTTGTTCTTGTTATAGCGGATATTGTTTTCGTTTGAATCATTTTTTTAGAGTGTAACAGTTAGATGAATTTGATGAAGTTATCGAACAATCTATTACGAAATTGATAAAATAAATTGAGTGTAGCTACTCGACGAATTAAAAGTAACCGCTTTTTATAAGTAACAAAACTTTCGACCTTGCTGACAATAATATTGATAGGGAGTTGATTGAAGTGGATGATGTCAGACTGTAGGTATGGAAAATCCTAATAATTTTAAAGTATTTTCACTACTTTTGTTAGTTAATGATAAACATTAGAAAATAAAGAATTTGGAATAGAAAGTCGTGTAGATAATATCTAAAAGTCCTATTTCCAGAAAGTTTACTTACAAAAGATCCACTCATTACAAGCTAGCAAAGGAAATTAACAAAATCTGCATGGGAAATAGAAAATTAATGAATAGCACATTAAAAAGATACTAGTAAATATAATAATGTGATAATAAATACTTTAACTAACTTTTAAAGCTCTATTCAAGGATTTTTGGTGATTGTAAACAGAATATTCCAATTTTAAGTACAAAATGTGTTCAATATATTTATATTTTTTAAATTATTACAAGAAAAGTACGAATAGTGTATGATAATCAACAAATAAGTAGGTATAATTTACTAATAATAAAGAAAAAGTTGAATATTATGATTATAAACTACACTAAGAAAAAGAATGTATTGCAAAAACAAATCAAAAAAATCTTGTCGAGCATTTTCAAAATTTTCCACAGCACTCTGTGACAGTTCTAAGGGCAAATTTGGAACTCCAATCGTATCCTGCAGTACCAACAATTTCAATTACATCATTACTGGTATTAAATCAGTGCAAACGCAATTAGAAATTAATTGTGCATTTATCTAAGAAAGGTCACACGTTGACAGTAAACGTAAACATTCGGAAGGCATCAATTAAAAATAGATTACAAACTAAACCAAAGTATAAAACCGTGCAAACGCGAACCTGATCATTGACCCAGACGGGCTTATGGCCGCCATGCTGTCACGTCGAAGACCGAGCGAGGAAATTGTAAGGTTAGGAAAAACTCATGAAACATTTCCGAAGAGAAATCAAACGAAAATCGATAATAAAACGGCACTAAAAACCGATATTAAAATCCCCGCGGGAATAATAAGTTTCATAATAAAAATAGGAATATTAACTTCGGTTTTATTGCCCTGGCAATTCGACCTAAAACCATTACATAAAAATATATAGTAATAATAAACTTGTTTTCATCCGACAGGCGCTTAATCGTAAACAAATTGCGTGGGTAAGTAAATGTAAGCGCACGCTAAATTACTAATTACCAATTATTATTTACCTGTTGCCAATGATTGTCCAACGAAGGTCTAGCGGAGAAATATCCCGTATCGTCGATATCTTCCAATTCCCTGAAGATATCAACGCTTGGTAAAATATCCATGATTGTTCACAGTCCACTACGAATCACAAAAACACCGAGAAAACACACATGAGTTATCGAATCCGAAAAAAATAACAATAAAAAAAACCAATCACGTTGTCGGCATATTACTTTAACCTCTATCGCATGCAACACACGTCGAAAAATATATCGAAATATACACACACACACACGTATAATATAATACACACGGCAGTGTATGCGTAGCTCCTCTTCCTAACCGCTCGGATGTTTTAACAACATAACAAAATATCCCCGTAGTCGAGTATTTTCTAATGCCGTCTTATGAAATGCACATAACTGTTCCGGTGTACCTGCTAGCGCGGATTTCGGCCGAAGGTCGGGTGATGGCGAGTACCGATGTTTTGACAATTAAACGGTATTTAAATGTGTGCTGATAGGTAATCAGGAGTGAGAGATAACGGAGCGGAAAGCGGTAATACTGTATTGCAGAGCCTCGCGGCACCACGACTGAACGTTCCGTATGAACGTTCGTCTTCGTTTGCTTTGGGTCGGATGTAGAGGTGGGATCGAGCGGATGCGGGAACTGTTACTGTTTTATGAGTATAAGTATTATCGTTATACTTGTTTTTTGTTGTTAAAAATGGTTTATTGGTATACATAGATGCCATAATTATGTCACAATTGAGTTAGCAGTACCACCAGGTTCCTCCGTTATGTTAGATAGTAGATAGATGGTAGATTGATGGCATATGGCAGTTGGTAGATGGTAAATGGTAGATGGTAGACGGTAGAAAGTAACAGTAAAAGACGGACATTAAAGCATTATTGAAGAAATTTGGGACAATTTTAGTTATTCAACAATAATCATCCAAACTTAAAATACACCTCTCCTGTAAAATCAACAAATTGGAGAGATCAAATTGTAGCATCTATCAACAGAAATGTACTTGCAACTTTTTGGTCCTAATTTTTCAACCACTCTAAATCATGTGTTACTCACAGGAGCCCACAGGAGAGGGAAAATTTAAGTGGAATCGTAAAAAACACCACAATGTGCAGTAGATATACTCTTGGTATTGTAACTTTTTTCTTCTTTTTGAACAATACAATGTATTCTTAAAGATCAGATCAAATACGAGAAGAGAAAGTCTTTCTCGTTGCATTTGTGTAATTTTTATCAAAATATGGTCACTATAAAGTCGCAATATGTGAGAGAACCATGTTGAAAGCTTTTAATACATTAACACAATCATATGTTATAAGAGAGAGTAAAGTGATTGAACCATCAGTATTTAAATTGTACCACAACTGTATTTCTATCAAATAATACTATTTTATTCACACGGGTAATAAACAGATGCGACTTCGACTCCACAAGCTCTTAATCTTTAAATTAAATCAGTATAATTCTTGCATTTTTTAACCATTCAGTTGATAAAGAGCAAAGATTCCTTTTAACAAACACTGGAAGGCAAATTATTCAATATTAAATTGCAAATTTGTTCTAATAACTCATGTTTAAAGCAGCAGATGCACTTATAAAGAACAAAATCAAATGAGTGATGAATACTTGATTCATCATTATTTCTACGATAGAAAAAGAAAATGATGAATAATGAAAATCTATCCATTGAACCCCAGCCTAGGAAACAAATGTTCAAAATATAAGTTTCCAAAGACTCCCTAAAGTAATATTCGTGTACTTGAAATGCAGATTATTATTTTTAAATTCGGTAAAATCTGTAGACCATCAGCTAGCTCAATTTATAGTACTACTTTGGAAAATTGAACCATTATACAATTGTTCAAAACTAGCAATTTTCTACCAATTGCCACAATACTACAATATAAAGGAATATTTTTTAGCTACTGAATCAAGCTCTCTAGTGAGCCCTTTTTTATTTTTACAGATTGCAAGGATCCACTTAATAAGTACCATTATATCAAAAATGCTCCAATATAAAAAATTTCTATATAGAGCGCCATATTAATTTAATTACAACACACCACAAAACTTCCAAATCTTCAACCTTTCAATCCTTCAACACGACTTTCCAGCTCTCCTCAAATCACATTAGGGCATGATTCATAGGTAAACCCAGCAAGGAATTCCGGACTCCGGCGATTCCGAATAAATAACGGTTCGCCCTCGCCCATCTCTAAGCGTCGGTTCGGCCGTCCGTCCGACGATGCTTCGAGTTTTCGTCGCGAAAGCGCCACCGCCGCTATAAAAGCGTTTCGATCGTATGCGTGCGGAAGATGCGCGCCCGCCGGCTCACGACCGACCAGATATTGCACCTACAACCCATAATATTACATTTTATTCGACGCTCGTATACCGACCGACGTCGAGATTATGTATCCGTCCGATAATTTCTCTTCGGGAATATTTTCCTTTCGCGCGGATCCCATGCCGTTTCCTCCGCCGCTCCCGGAGTTATCCGGGTCTCATTGATTCGCCCGATTAGTATTCCGGTTTTGATACCAGCTAATGTTAAGTACCTACTTAGCCCGACATCGCGCTGGATTGGTAATGGATAGGTTGATATACCTCAATCTCGCGAACTGCATAGAATAAGAGCTGGAATAATTTAACTGTGCGAAACTTAACTATGCAAAAAAGTTTGCTCGAAACTTTGGATACGCTTTGGTTCGACGTTTAAATTGAATAATGGAAAGAAAGCCCGCAAAACTTTTACATCTTGTAATAATAATAACAATAATAACTTGTTCCAGATGTTTTATGAATTAATTAAACTCTCAGTAGTTAACAATTTTTACCTCACAACTCATGCCAAATTATATGAAAAATTAGATACATGAATGATACATACATAAATGAATACAAATAGTTATATGAGGAGTTTTATGATGAGTCATATGAATAGTTATATGATTGAATTATGAGTTATATGAAGAGTTGCATGAAGTGCCTTCTACGGAGAAACTTCCTTTAGAATATCGCCAAAAAATTACCAAATTTTCTAACACTAAACCCGTAGCCGGAAGGCGACAAAACCGAAATTGCGGTACATATTTTTTAAGAAATAAAAAAAATCCGCGTAATGTTGTAATAATGCGATTGTAATTTCCAACCTTCGCCCTGTATCCGGCCGCGTGCCTTCTGCGCTTACTTACTGTGGTTTATAATGTAGATAGTGCATACATAAAGGGAAGTAGATTAAGTAATTTATATTAAACTTGGAGGAAATTATCGGCTCGCCGGAGATAATGGGCGAGCAAAGTCGTTGCAGGAAGACACGGTGATGCAACGCGGATGTGATCATCCCGTATGTTCGTCGAAATTTGAATAACTCTAAACCGCGTAATAATTTTTTAGATAGTCCTGTATGGAATTACAGTGTTTACTGATCTATCTAAAGCGAGATATAGTTGGATCATCAAACAAACGATTATTATAATTAGCACAGTTTTGATTGATGACGTTATAGAAATAAAAAATACACTGTATCTTCAATTAATCTTACAATATTAATATTACATAACAAGTTTTCGTTGAATCGATAAATCAAACCCGTATTTTCAAGAGCACTCTTGCATACTTAATAACAGTAATAATGAGCTAATATGTATCGTTTCATTCATCAATGTATAAACGAAAGTGGATTGTTTTATTGAGGTTTTCCATTGAAATGAGCGAAATGAAAAGCCTATCAATCCGGTGCGACATCATAACAATTTTTTACGCTACATAAGATAGCCGTCCAGTCTACCTAACAATTAAAGTAAGTGTGACATGCAGCGTACTCGGTTCGCACCCTCTTTCTACGCCGGCACCCCAACCCCTAAATAACAAACTCGCCTTTTGTGAGCCCTCAAATAAAAGGTAATTCGATTTGTAGATTCTCTCCCGAAAGCGATTTTAATTATCTTTTGTCTCTTCACTAGTATCGCTAGCGGGAACATGAGGAGGCGAGGAATTTCTTTTGAAAATTTGATAAAAATGATACCTGTGGGTGGCTGTTGTTAATATTATTTTTTGATTTGAATTTTCACGGATAACTAACTTTGTGATATTTTTTCGCACGTTTTGTTTCAAGGGTTGACAAATAATATGGTGTTGTTAATGAATAAAGAATTTCGATTGGAATATTGATGGATATTTTTTGTAAAAAACCAACCCAAAAACTATAAATAAATGTAATTAATTCAGTGTACTTGTAGAAAAATATTAATATTTTGGATTAAATTTTTTAAGAACAGTTGTACCTAAAACAAAACATTTCACAACAATGAAAGAATTAAAAAAAAATTCTAATAATCTTTGAGTTTAATGTTAAAGTTAAAAATAAAAATTTAAACGAACCTTATCGGACGGAGGATGGTGAATTTTCCCAATATTTAATGAAGCAATTATTGATAATTCTCAGCACCGATAAATAAAAAATAATAATAATTTTATATTGTTCAGTTGCGAAATTTCAAAATTTCAGAGGTGCGCCATTAGTAACCATTAATTTCAAAAAATCTACGCTTGTGCCTACTTTATCGATAAAGTATTGATAAAATACTGAAAATTTGTCTACAAGTTATACTAAACAAAATACATTTTACAGTAAAACTGGTTGCATATTATCAGAGTACAGGCGGTTCTATGGTCACAGAACACTTACGTGTAATCTTGTTGTGTTGTGACTTGTGATTATGTTATCGTACCATCCCGTGGTACAAATATTAATTATTTTTGATTTCTTAATAATATAGCTTACATATTACATAAATTTATTATTTTTTAACAATCTATAAAAATATAAATCATCGTGATGAAAATATCATTCATCAGTCTTTATAAAAAAATCACCAAAAAAATAGTTCGTCCAGTAAATTACAATTTATCATTCTATTATAAACAATACTGTTGAGCTCATAAAAATTAGCATAGGAATCTTGTACAAATAATATAAGGTGTTAAAAAAGAGTACATTACATTCTAGAGAGAGTGATACAGAAACTTTCTTCAATCATTATCAATCTCTCGCTAAATGTAGGCAACCAAAATTGATACAATGTTGGTAAAGATTGATAAGATGCAATGATGATTGCCTACTACGCACCGTACAAACTATTAGTACATAAACAATCTACCCTAGAAATAAACGTACTCACCCCTTCTTTAACACCCCCATTCAAATTTCATATACCTATCTACACAAATAAAATACCTATACATCAATCGCTAGCCTCGACTTCGATCCTCTTCCCTTGCTCGCCCGCCAGCAAAAGATTCCGCTTCCTGGCCACCCATTCCACCCTGATGAAAGCTAAACTGCCCAGCGTACCGCTCGCCAACAGTATGCCCAATTGGGCGTAGAGCCCCACGTGCTCGGCGTAGAAAAACGAAGCAGCCGCCCCAATGGACTGAAAATTTAACACGAATCAAAAACAAACCACTTCGCGCTCCAGCCTCAATCGGTACCTGCGTGAATTTGAAGATGGCGAAAGCCGGGGCGCTCCGGTCCGCGTACACCGACCCCAGCAGCGAGTAGATCTGCGTGTTGTAGAAGGAGTCGCCGAGGCCCAGCAGGAACGAGCAGAATATGGCGAGGACGGCGTTGCTGGTGATGTAGGCGCTCTCGTCGGTATCGCCGAAGGGCGATTCGTTGGGCAGATTGGCGAAGATCAGGAAGAAGCTGGCCGTGTGCAGGACGTAGCCGGCCGCCACGATCGGATCCCTGCCCCATTTCACTGTTTTGTTGCCGAAGATGCCGAACAAACCGCCGCCTTGTACAGGAAAACCCGCGTATTTTGTAATTCCATTAAGGATAAATCGCTATTCTACTCTTCGTCTACTCTATACAGGGTGATGAGTCGCGCTTAACGGGACGGAGGTTTTTAAATTTTCTTCGGGATAAATTCGTAGTGACATATTCTAATTTTAATAGCTTTATACAATTTTTTCTCAAAATTGAGACAACCTGTCTACAACTTTAAATTCTAACCGTCATACATGTACATATTTATCCCGAAGAAATTTTAAAAATCTCCTACTCTATTATTAATTTACTCTACTATAAATATACTCTACTTGGAATCTACTCTACCTTGAATCTAATCTAACCTGAATCTACTCTATTCTGAATCTACTCTATTCTGAATCTATTCTAATCCGAATCTACTTCACTCTGAATCTACTCTACTATGATCCTACTCATCTCTGAATCTACTCCACTCCAAACCAACTCTATTCTGAATCTACTCCACTCTAAACCTAATCTACTCTGAATCTACTCCACTCCAAACCAACTCTACTCTGAATCTACTGTAATCCGAATCAATTCTTCTCTGAATCTACCCCACTCTAAACCTAATCTACTCTGAATCTACTCCACTCCAAACCTACTCTACTCTGAATCTACTCCACTCTGAATCTACTTTACTCTTAATCTACTGTAATCTGAAACTATTCCACTCTGAACCTACTCTATTATGATTCTATTAAACTCTAAATCACTTTGAATCTGCTCAATTCTGAATCTACACTGCTCGGAATTTTCTCTACTCTGAATCTACTCTACTCTACCATGAAGCTACTCTATTCTATTCTTCCAAACTTACCTAATACTTCACCGAGTCCAATGAATATCCCGGAAACTCCGACAAGTTGTTTTCGATCCTCGAAGGCCTTCGTGAAGCTGATGCAGGAGCTGTATACTCCGCTGAAAAATCCCAATTCCAGTCCTGCAATTGAACGTTACCTTATCTTATCACGGTAAATAGTAAGTAATTTCTATATTTTTGTTACGTAAATTTTGTTATTGATCACAAACAATATTTAATCAATCTATTCTCATTTATTGGGAGATTTTGAATTGTCACTGAAATTCCAAAAATATTATTGGTATCAACAAGCTATTTTTGCATTGGGATTGAGAGTGTGGTATAAATATTGTTACATTCTGACTTATTGGTGAACGCGCCTCAAACAACGGGGTCTGATTTTGATTTATCCGGAAAAGTAATCGAACCTCCGGCGTTATTCCTTATTTAAGAATTTCGTTATCGAAAGTGCCGGAGAACAACGGCGAACTCTCCGAGTCGTTTACTCTCGCATAAATTCCGACAATCGAATTACAATCGGAAACGGCGAGGCGACCGGATTTATATGAAAACCGGCCGGAATGCCAGGTGGAAATTTAATTTCGACCGAGTTTTAATTGAAACGTCAACTGCAATTACGGCCGACGTTCGAGAAACAAATCTCGCCGCGACGGCGCGAAGAATCGCGCTCGTTCGAGCCGTTAATTTCATCGTACCCGTGTACAGGAAGGTGACGCTGAGGAGCAGCATGTTCCCGGTGAAGAACAGCCGCAGAGCCCCGACGAGCGCCTGCAGGGGACCATCGGGGGCGGCCTCGCGCTCCGCCTCCTCCGGCTCGTCCTCTTCGGCCTCCTTGGTGGCTTTGGGCAGGCACAGCACCACCAACAGCCCGACTACACCCACCGACGCCAGCGTCACGATCACCACGGTGCGCGTCTTCTGGTTGATTTCCTCCTGGCCCTTGAAGGCGAAGAACACGAACGTGTTGCCGATGAAGAGGCTGGAAATCCAAAGGCGTAACAAACGCTAATATGTGTTTTAGCAGCCTCACCTTAGTTGAAGCAAAGCCCAGAATATGCCGGAGTTTCTGGATATGTCTTTTTTGGTGGAGTTTAGGGTGAGGTAATTGCCTTGGCCTGTCCATATCAGCGCGGCTCCGACTCCAAGGATGGCGCTCGTGGTGTACAACAGCCATCCGCGTGGTATGAGAAACGATAGAATAAACAACCTAAAATTGTTTTATTGGATAAATTGGAAATTGGTATCGCGAAATAGAGATTACATGTAAGTCACTCCGCCTATTAGCATGGAAAATTTGGAGCCTATGACGCTTATAACGGATGGAGCGATCCAATTAAACACGGAAAAGAAAACGTATATTATGGCTAAGCTGTAGTACGCCTCCCCGTTGAATGTGTGATCTTCGTTTTGGATGCTCGTTAAAATGGTTTTCTGCAAACATAACAAATTTTGTTGTAATTGCTAAATCGCTGAAAAATGATTACAATTTTTCGAAATACAACAATTGTGAATTCATTTATGCGCTATTTTATCGTTCATAATAGATTAGAAATTACGTTGAAAGCAATAAATTTATTTCCATGTCAACTAATAGAATACAGTGTATTGTAGTTGCGTATGCGAGCGTACATGTAGGCAGGCGTTTCCAAAAAGATAAGATAATAATGCACTGTAATTTAATTGACAATATGTTGAATAAATCAAAGGCGAGAAGACAAAAAAAGTCAATGGAAAATATTTCATTTACTTTGAGTAATTTCTGGTATCTGAGAAATTAATCTGATTCTTTAAAGCGCACCTTTGGTTAGTTTATGCACACCTTGAATTTTTTATAACAAACTCCTACGAAGGATTTTTTTAATAATAAAGTATAAACCAAAACAATCCAGATAGATCAACTAATAGTAATCATAATTAAAGTTTATCAACAAAGACTATTTAAAGAAAGTATTGAGTAATTCGATTTGAAATTCCTGAGAATATAAGTAAGTAGATTGATTAATAGTCTACTAATTAATGTATTAAATTTACTGCTACGTTTTGGAGATATATTTAAAAGATAAATTGTCATTAAAATGCAAACGTGTAGTTCGTTTTTTTACGAATTTTTGCATTCCAGTAAATCCTTGGATACTTTATGTTTGTGTAAAGTCAACGGCCAGCGAGGCCGGCTGCAATTTTCATTAAAATACCTGAATCAAATATCCCAATTAAAAAAATCGACCTGTTAAAGGTGTGTTGAGTTGATCGAATTAATACAATCAATGCGTTTTCTAGCGTTTATCGAAGATTTTTTCTTCTACTTTCTTAGCGGTTTTGTTACACATCTAATATGAAATTCAAGGTAATCTGGTAGTTACTTAACTCCTAGAAAGTAAATTAGCATTTTGAAATTTGGACAAATGTAAGTTGAATTTTATTGCCTGTCTAATACGACTAGATATGTAAATATGCAGCTTATGCAGACATAAGCTGTAATGTGCTCGTTAATATTTTTTTGCTGGCGACAATTAAAAAAACCTTAGGAAAGTGGAAAATTAAACCAGAAACCTCGATTTCTACGGAAGATAATAAGAAATTTATCCGTATAAGGAAAAGTATTTCCACCTTTCAAGTCGTCTCTGTACCACCGATTGGTTTAAGTGAAAGAATAATGAAAAAGTATTGATAATAAGAGAAGGGGGAACATAATAATAACATCTTTAGTATCTAATACAATTGACAAATCTAAAAATTACGTCATAATTGCAATAAAAAAATAAACAATTCAAGTATTATCTTTATTTTGAAATTTCTATTGAAAACCGATCAATTGTGCAATAAAAAAATTGACAAAATCCACCATAAGTACCATATCATTCTATATTTTATGTATGGCACTCGCTAGTCACTTATCTTTAAAATCAATAAAACTATAATAATTGTAAAAGTAAAGTAGGTATCTTTATTTGTAATTCTTTAATCCCCCATATCTTAAATAATTATGTAGGCACGTAAATAATGTAATTTACCTCAATTTTATTTAGGATGTACAATATAGAATCTGATTAAAAAATGCATAGTTAATTAGTGAATTATAGTGAATTATAAAATATGAATGAATACAAAAAAATAAAAACAATAATTCTCTAAAATAAATATAATAAGCATCTATTCAACTTCAATAACAATATACGAGCCTAAATAAATAAGATTGATAAACCCTAATCTCTCTTCTAATGCTTGTCCTTAATTTTATTTTTCAATTATTTGATAAAAAAGTAGATGTGTACATAAAAATATTTCCCTCCAAAACAAATACAACACAAACAGCGCGAGTTAAACAATTTACTTTCTAACACCTCTTCATTCATTTGAAATTTCGAGTAAAAGACTTAACATAACACGTTTCAAAAACTCGATTAAAGCAGGTAAAAGAGGCCCGGAAATTCCTTACCTCTATGTTCCCCATGGTTTGGAAGGCCGTGAAAATTAGCATGAAAGCCAATCCCAAGAGGAAAACGTTCAATAAACTTTTGTTTATCATTTTGACAAACTATAATACAACGCGTTTCGAACTAAAATTATAAACTTTCACTATACCACTGTACTATACAGCACGTTGAACGGATCGGTTGTGTTTACATCGCCTACATGCTTTATAAAATTCAGTGAGTACGGGAGAATTGGTGGGAGTGTATCCTGCAACGTGGTTTTGTTACGTACTAGTAATAATTCATATCTACTTATTTATCGCAGGGACGTACTTGGATTGTTTATTAACAAAAATTGTAGCGGACGAGGTAATCGGATGTATGCCGAAGGAGTTGTTGTCGCACTTTTATATCTATTGGAAATGGGTGGGATTGAGTAATATGGTTACTTTAGGGTTCCTTTACTAAGTCATGAGAAAAAATAGAAAATGGGTATGTTCCTCTCTGGTCATAGAATAAAATATGTTCCACCTATACCATAGGATCTAAAAACATATACTTTCGCAGGTTTTGTACCTGCTTATGGATAGTACTGGATAGTTACGTAATATACAGGGTGTCTCAAAAAGTTTGGGACATGCCTAAGACTTCCGAGACAAAAATAAAAGGATTGATTTAATTTTAAGCCTTTGTAACTTCTTTAATAGGCACTTTTAGATACAGGTAAGTTATGTTAAATCATTTTTGTCTCAGAAGTCTATAGTTAAGTCATATCCCAAGCTTTTTGCGACACCCTGTATATAAACTGTCCTTAGTCTCCTCCTTTTGTGGTCTACTATTTTGAGTCAGTATAACTGCGCTCAGAATAGTAAGTAGTCTTAAGACTACTCAGATTGTCAAGGTCCACAGACCAAAGTTCCTTTATTGGATAGTAATCGGTAATTCACAAGACAAATTAATTTATTTGAATGATTTTTATTCGTTTAGCTAAAAAAACATTCTACAGAAGTCGCCTTAATAAATTTTTTATAACTGATTTTTCCTACGATAATGCACAATTAAAAGAATAAAATAAGACACGTATAAATAATCTGAAATAAATATTTATAAACTATATTTTAAAATATATATTATGATTCATAAGTCTTGAAACTAGGTTTCCACTCAATCTCGGAAGAACGTACAGCAAAGTGTCGAATGTAATAGGTGAATGATTCTTCCAGAGACACCTTGTTGTACGTAAAATTAGATTTCAGCCGTTGTTCGTAAGAGCACGTTTAATCTAATTGAAAAATTCCATAACATAGAAAAATTTGAACGTTCGGTGGAAAGTTCAAATCGCTTTAGCTGCTCTTCAAACGCAAAACAACGAACTTCGATAATGCATTATTAGTAACAATATTTAAATAGATACTAACAATTTTCTTTAAAAGAATTACGTTTTTATTTTTATTTTGTTATTTTTGATAAAAGATTTAGCTAGCTATTAATCATGTTCCCGATTTTATTCATTTAAAATTCGTTCAAGTGGCTAAGACCATTAATCAGCACTTCTAGAGTGCTCCGGTGATCCATTGACTGTTCAAAATGGGGTTTTACATAAAAAATGAAATTTATTTTTTCGAAAATAGACGCTAAATTTTCTCGAGGACCAGATAAAATTTGGAAAATTTCGCTAGACAATAAAATTCGAATCACGATTTATGTAATACCCATTATTTTAGCCAGGTCACAATCAGAAGGTAAAACGTATCAAAGGCATTCTTAAACTCGAATTTATTATTACGTTTTACCTTCTGTAGTAAAGTTCGTTACGACTGATATGTTTCAAAAAATGGTGTTGGAAATGATTGTTGTTTGCCTTATTACTAGCATCAAAATGTTCATAAGTATTTGCGAGTATTATATCAATTACAGGATATAGAAAGGCACATTGTACAACGTACAAACAAACAATAAAATTATTTCAATACAGTCGATCTTCTCCATCAACCCCGGTACATCATAAAAATTTAATCCACCGAGAGGTGGCAGAAAAGAGACTACACACACTTCAATATTGCTTTCGATATTAGATAAAAAATAACTCAACTATCCCGTAATTAACGAAACACCATTATTCAAACATCTCAGATGTTGCTCGCGCGCATTTTTTTGTTATTTTTGATTTGTTTATTAAAAATATTCTAGCTCCGCCAGCGGGAGTATTAATTTAAAAAATTGCCCTAACATTTAAAAATCGATACAAAATTTTTGGAACATTTTTTCATATAAAAAAAGGCTCGCCACTTTATTTTTATATTATAATAATTTCGCTACGAACATGAATTTCGACAAAAAAATATACATTTAATAAAACTGAGTGGCATAGTTTAAATGGTGATTTCTATTTTATTAAGGAGAGTCAACAGAACCGCTAATGTAAACATTTATTAGCGGACATTTCTTGTATAGTCTTAATAAAATAGACTCAGTCGTGAATACTAGATTCGTTTAGGTAAAAAAGTCGGAATATTATAGAAAAAGTTTACAATCTTGGCACATCAGTAATTTTACTAATCTTATTATAATTCTTATTTCACAGCGAATTCACTTTCGAACGATAATAGAGTGTAAAATTTCTTATAACGTTTCGATACGTTAACACCAACAAAAATCGAGATTAGGAAACGTTACAAAGGCAATTTCGATCCAACAATTTGAAAATTTTGATTATTTCGAATTCGCAAGACACCAAAAACCAACGTGAAATCATTTACCTAAAGAATTACGATTTGATGAGAGATCATCAAAATAAAATCAAACAAAAATTTTATATTATATGCACTTTCAAATAACGCATGAGTATCTTAATAGCAATAAAAAGAACTTTTGAAAGTTCTCGAATACTCTTAATAATCAGCATTATGTAACTTATACAGAGTGTTCCGCATACAGGACGGGGCGTGTAGATGAGCCTAAAATATATTTAACCCAACTTTAACTTAATACAGCCAATTTTTGAATAATATTGAATAGTGTAAATGACTTTATTTTTAGAGATTTACATCAAAACGACAAATCTCCTAACTATCGATTAAAACACTCCTAACGTCTACCAAATTTAGTTATAACTAAGATATTAATTTTTTAATTTAATTTTTAATTAACTCTACTTTGAAGGCCAATAACTTCTCAGGAATGTCACTTTGTATTAAGTTAAATTGAGTTAAACGACGTATTTTGGGCTCCTCTACATTCCCCTACTCTGTCGGTTCTTGTACGGAACACCCTTTATTTGAAAAATCCAAATAATCGAGTTTTGTGTTGGACTCGAGTTAAAAATTAGTTACCCATAATGCTGATATGAAAGACGAAAATTGCGACACCATTTTAGAAAAATTGGGTTTCCTGAACTGCTATTTTAATCAAAACTCAGACAATAAGGGTCTTTTTGTACAAAAACTAGTATATAATGTTGCATTTGACTAGTGATCGGTGATGACATCCGCTTCCCGGATATTTACATGACTAATTTCTCGAAAAAAGATATTGGGACTAGAATTTAATTTTAACGATTTCGATTTTTCTTTACCGACTTTTGCTTGACAAAATTAGTAACGAACAAAATGTTTCAATTAAATATTTCTGGATCGCGAGGCGAAATGAAGTTAAATTTCACGGCATTACACAGAATATAGATCAAGCTACTGTTAAACGATACCGAGAAATTTATCCTTCATTCCGCCGATTTATACGAGAAAATTATATACAAAGGCTAACATAGAAATCTACGAGTTCTGATAAAAATATTACAAAAAATATAAAAATATACCATTCATTCCCAACTATTCAAATGGCACCAAATTATTAAAAAAACGTAAAATACAAAATTAATTTATAAACTTACAATATACATACAGTAATTAAATCTTGAGAAAAATACAAAATCTATAAAATTAATTAAATGATTAAAATTAACTTAGACATGTTCTTATTAGAGTAAAAGAGTTTCTTTGCTTGTTTGGCAGTTTTTTCAAGACACCACGATCAATGATATGAATGTAATTTCAAAAGGTATTGCAATTACTTAGTCCAAATTTCAATTTACAAAACATTTAAATTACATAAAAAATTAACACAGAGCACATTATTGCTTATTTGAATACAAAATAGAGCCGAAAATTAAACACAAGAACAACATTTAGACTAGGTAAGGTCTTAAAAGGGGTTTTTTAGAGTAATTTTATCATCTCAGATAGAGCAATAATAATCGAAGAAAAATCAGAAAATTAACGAGCGATAAAATTCTCAAGGAACAATTCCGAATAAACGTATAGGGAACAACCTTCAATATGAACGTTTGAATTTCACATTTTTAACAAATATTGTTAAGTTAGTATTAGTAATTACTGATAGATGAATTGAATACTTTTGTTGCAGCCTATCCACAAAATTCAAACAGTCTTTGTATTATTGCAATAACGAATTCCAACTTAAGTACATCTTCGCGTAAAACATAAATCGTTGTATTTAACACACAAAGAAAATGCCTGGGAATAATCATTGTAATCGATAGCTGCAACTGGTAGTGATCAGTAATACTGATGATTACATATAAAACGATTTAGTTCTGTAATAATCAGTGCAAGTTCTCTACTGAGATCAGACGCATTTGTAATTATTGCACTTAAAAATATTCGCTTAATTTGTGTGTCTTCTTTGTACTGTCGATAAATATGTGTAGTGGATACTTAATATTACATCAAAATTGAAAAAATATCATATAAAAAAATGACGCAAAAACTTAAATCTACGGGGAAAGACGGATAGTTAATTTTAAGTCCTAACTGATTTGCAATTTGAACGATATTTTAGGATACAGCATATTTGTCGGTCATTTAAGTGAAACCAAACTTAACACAAGTCTTTGGTTTTTTTTTCTTCAATATTGTAAAATGAATCTTCAGCAAGAATATTTTCATATAAATGACGAAAAGGTTCAACAACCACTAAAATTAAAACATTGGGTAACTTTTTTAGCCTTAAATTGACGAAAAAATATACTTTCTCCTACAAGATATCTAATTTACTCAACGCCGTTTACTAATAAAAACGAATCAAAAAAATTAACCTAACCCACTTATGCAATTAAAACCTAATAAAATATCTTTCTCTGGACAAAAAAATCTGTGTACACTTGTTACAAATATAACAACGAAAAAAATCTATATAGGAATAAATTACAAATTATAAACAACCTAAAATAGCGAAGCGACATACGGGAAGTTCTATTAGTTTACCAAAGTTTCTGGAATTCGACTATTCACCTCCTCCAACCCGACCTGTTCCTTGTTAAGAGGCAGCGGAAGACTGAAAAAAAAAACATTTTAATTGGATTTAAAAGCTCTTAACTTACAATAAAACACTTTTTTCTTATTATTTTTTAACATATCGAACGGATTAGAATGCTCTGGTAAGAAATAGTGAAGTTTGTACAAGGTTTCCCAAACAAAATCCCCTAGAAACCAGCAAATCAAACGAATGCTCTCATACATTTTATACAAAGTGGTGGGATGGTATTCCTTGATAAATTTTAAGTCGAATGTGCCTTATACACTTTTGTTGAAAAGTAAATACTTAAGGAATTATGAGTACTTGAAATTATTCTTGTAGCGGAAGAGGATTATTCCTGTGCCCTGGCATCCAAGATCACCAGATCTTACACCTCTAAACTGTTATCTTCGAAGACATACGAACAGATTAGTGTATTCTAATTCACCACAAAACATTATGACTGAGGAAAAATAAGAAAATGTTATGTAACACTACTTCCCTATACCTAAAACCAACACTTTTAACCGTCCCCTTGAACTTGACTCACCCAGAATAGTTATGTCCCGTATAAATGAAACTTACCACTGCGCCTTAAAAGTGGCATTGTCCGGTCCGGCGACCGGCGTCGAGCCCTGATTAGACGATTCGTCGTAGCCGGAATCCGAACTGCTATCGCTGTACGCCTTCGAAGAGCCGCTCTCGCACTGTTCGGCCTCCGGTTTACCCGTCGAGCTCGGCCCGAGCTTGCAGCCGGCCGACGCGCGGTAGCGGCACGGCTTCATGAAGCGAGGATCGATCATGATTTCGTTGTAGAGTCCCTTGAAGACGGTTCCGCAACAAATCGTTTCCCTGCAAATATCGAGTGAGTATAATCGTAATCGATCGAGTCGAGTGTCAGGTTACTTTTTCCAGTAGTCCAAGTCGACGAAGTCGCTGACTCTCAGCATACCGAAGTCTTCCCTGCGCTTGGCCGATCCTTTATACCTCCGGCTTTTTTCCACTACCTCTTCCGTATCGCTTATGCCCGGACTGGCCGTTCTGCTGGACTCGGTGCTCGGGTTCTCTTCGCACATGAAATCAACGTCCTGGAGGTCTTGCTCTTCGTTACCTACAATACATACAAGTTAGTAATACTACACTGTATAGTACAGTAAATAAAGTACCTTCGCTTTTGTCGGAGAGGACGGGACTGTCTTCGCGCTCGAACTGCTTCTTCATCTTGAGCTTCTCGGACTTCTCCTCCATCAGCTTGCGGTTCTTCACTTTGAATTTCGTCATGGATTTGATGCCGGGGCCGGCGCGGGCGTCGACCACGTGCTGCCAGTTCCTGTCCGAACCGGCCGGCAGCTTCTTCCATCTCTTCACCAACAGCACGCAGGCGTTGCAAATCTCACCCTGGCGGGGCGTCGATAGCTTGAAGCACTCCAGGAAGTCCTCCTCGTACTTTTTGCTGTCGGTAAACCGGGAACTGGAAGAATATTTAGAGCTTGTATAGAATGCGTAAGGGAAGGAAAAGCGGGGAGTATTTTACCTGCTTGATTTGGCCTTGCAAATACAACACCCTGTAGTTGATCGGTATACTTTTGGTCGATGAAACGAGAACATTTTGAATCTGGAAACGAGTATGTTGGTTAATCTTTTAGTTGTGGAGTATCAATAGAAATCAAAGTTGTTTTGGGCATTTTATTGATAAGATTGATAATAAAGCGATTATAGTTAACGGGTAAACAATAGTTAATAGGTATTTATTTATTTATTTCATAAACCAACATAAAGAGTTCTCATATTAGAGTAAATACAGCGGATTTACTTGTTATGTGGCGTCTGTTTCATTCTAGATTGTTGTTATATTTTTATGAAGTAAATAGGACTTGTTATTTCAGCTTGTTTGGGTGATTTTTCGACGATCGCGTCGAATTGTCGGGCGAAAATCGAAAGTAATCGACGAGTACAAGTTATACGCGAGTACCTGAAAGCGAAAAATCGGGCATAATGCAGTTTTGTGTCGACGTATTTCGGAATTCGTAGTGATAAACAATACGTCACGATCGCCTTGTCCTACTTTAAAATCCAGTCTTTGCAGCGTTTAAAAAAAATACCAATCACGCTCTTCGGATTCAAACAAAACTAAAAATCGAAAAGTGCTAAAGGAACGTTTACAGGACAATAACCTGTTTGGGTTTTCAGAACAATGGCACCGCAACTGGCAACCCTCGTTTTTTTTACCAAAGTTTACATCGCCAGTAAATTCAAATATGTTAGAAAATATACAAACGAAATCGACAATAATAAGCAATTCTAAACACCTGTAATTTATTTGTAGATAAACCGAAATACTGATAAAAGCTGTTTGATGTGCTGAAACGAAAATGTTGCAACAATTCGTCAACAGGTTGGGAAATGGACGGTACTTGCTACTTACAATTTACAACTTAACTCCCTAGTTAAACTTTCTACATAAAAGTAAAAACGATTAACATCGCTTTTAAAAGCGAATTAACAATCAAACGGGCTCGGATTTCAAAACAACGACTCGAGAAATTGATACAATTTTATCAATCCACGCCGTCCTTGTCGAGTGGATATTCAAACCACCGCAAAGACGAATCCTCTTACACAACACCCGAGGAACCCTAATCCAAGAAATATCGCGAAAATCCCATTTCCAACGCGAATATTCGATTAATCCAACAAGTCCAGATAAACTTTCTATTGGGTAACGAAAAATGTGTTCGTCAACGTTAACCAGCCATTACTGCTTTAATTACGAAATGACCGAAACGGAAAAATTGTAGCCGAAAATTCGCAACGCGGGTAATCGGTAATGCGGTTTTCCGAACGGAATTACCCGTCAGCGAATTTGAAATTGGAAATAATAGAAAGCGTTTTACCGGTTATGGTACTCGATAAAAATGGAGTTGCATGACGCCGACGAAATCGAACTTGTTATAAATTAAATGTGGCCAAACTGATGATGACAACCTTACCTTGCGAATTCAACGGGAATCTGATGCTATGGGTCACTGAATTTAACGAAACGTTTTGTTATTGGAATTAAAAATATTTGCAAAATTCTCAAAAATATAGGCACACCAACACAACAGATGACGGCTAAAATTTTTAATATCGATTGCGCATATTCCCGCGCACGGACATTGCGCATGCTGGACGCCAAATGGCAATTTTTCGATTCTTGCCAGGTACACCAACTTAACATTTCTTCGGTTGTTGTATCACAATCAATGCGTAAGACAAAGACACAAACAATAAATCCCTATTCTAAAAAAACGTACCTACATTTACAATAATTGACGTTGACATATTATTAAACTTTTTACTGTCAGTGTCACTTTACTGTCAATCTCTTATCTACTTAAAAACAGTATGTTTTTATTTGTGTTGTAATTTATTATTTAATTAAATTAGGTTTGCGAAATTTTAATAAACATTTTTGCTAATAATAAAAACATGGCAAACTCCACGAATACTAACGAGTCTTATAATTTTAAAGTTGTACTACTAGGAGAAGGTTGTGTAGGGAAAACGAGTCTTGTAATCCGATATATAGAAGATAAATTTAATCCAAAACATATATCTACGATACAGGTATGGCTTCTCGTCTCTTTTACGTTATATTATAATAACTCAGTCTTTTCTACTTTAAATTACAGGCTTCATTTTTAACTAAAAAGATAAATTTAGATGGTAGTCGTATAAATCTATCTATATGGGATACAGCAGGACAGGAGAAATTTCACGCTTTGGGGCCCATTTACTATAGGTCTTCGAACGGTGCAGTATTAGTTTATGATATTACCGATGAGGATTCTTTTCAAAAAGTCAAATGTTGGGTGAAAGAACTGCGCAAAATGCTAGGGACTGATATTTCGTTAGTTATAGTCGGAAATAAAAGCGATTTGGAAAAGGATCGACATGTTGATTTAGATTTAGCTAAAACGTGAGTATTTCTGACTAATTGTTAAACTTGTTCAAACCAGTATACAGCATAAATCGAATCATGTTTTTGAACATTAAATTCCACAATTATATTTCGGTTGCTTTGAAGTAAGTTTTTCGAACTAATGGAAATTGGAATATTGTATAAATATAACAGGAATAGAATCCCCACTGCTATCCTAATCTGACGTACGTCTATTAACGGTTAATTTAAATAGGAACGTATTTAAATTTGGATTCAGTTGTAATTTAACTCGTAACTCAAAAAAATCAAAGTATCTGCAACTTCTAATTTAGATAGGATCATAATGTCGTTAACATCCGATAGCAGGTATATTTTGTTTGGTTTTGTCTGGAAACATTCACTAACACAATATTTACTTTCATAATCTCCCAATTGTAAAATTTAAAATGCAAAATATTTGACTGCACTTCAATTTTCATTCTAATTTTAGTTACGCCGAAAAAGTGAAAGCCATGCATTTTCAAACTTCTGCTAAGCTGAACGAAGGCGTGGAAGAAATGTTTCTGGCTCTGGCTCAGAAAATGCTGGAAGAGGCCAAGCTGAAGGCTGCTCACGAAATCAGCTTAACGAGAAGAAATTCCCAACGGGTGGTTCAAGTTGTAGACGATGAAAACGTGCCGAATACTAATAAGAGCTGCTGCTCCAATAGTTAGACTGTCATTAAGTTCTAACCACTATTATTATTACTGTATATATATTATTATTGTTTTATTGCTACTATTTTACATGTGATGTTATTGTAAGTGTAAGATTTATTATTATACCACATGCTGAAAATTTATTTTATTTTTTATAAAACAGAACTGGATGTTTTGTGATGTTTGCTCACTGCATTTAGACCTGTAGAAGTGATCGATTAGTTCCATTAAATTTTCAGAAATATCCATTGCATTTTTGATTTCTTTTTGCGGCCTAAAAGAAGAAAGTTGTTAATAAAAGTTGCATTAAAAGATACTTACCAAAATATTATTTAGTATGTGATAACTGAAAGAAATGTTAAAAATTAGACCTTTCATCATTTTATAGTAATTTTGATCATTAGTGTTTCTATTTAGGATAATTTATATTTTTTTTTGCCCCTTTTTAATTGCATATATAATAAAATATACAAATTCTAACATTTGAAATTTTTTTCTATCCAAGAATTGTTTTTTATGCGTGAATGTTTTCAATTTGTATTTTTATTTTTTAATTTTTAGGGGTACTTGGTTTTATTTTTTCTTATCGGTAGCAATGAATTAACATCATTAAATTTACACAAAAGAAGAAAATCGAGAATTCACTTTCTTTTAAAAATATAGAAACATGAAAATTCTCGAGTCACAAGTTAGTAAAAGAAATTTGGAAAAAAAGTCCAAACCGAATGTAACATTTCCATGCGCAATTTTTTCCAAAATTTCATTTAAAAATATGTCTAATCTACGTCTATGAATTATAACAAACATTATTTGTACATAAAATGATTGATTAACAATTATCAGTAAAAAACAGTCAATTCTATTTCTAGGATCATCACATTCGACATTTTTTGACCGAAAAACTCAATAAAGATAGAATGAAATAAAGCAATATGAAAGTGACCTGATCGCAAGACACAATTTGACTCGCTTTTTCGTTACTATCGTCTCCATGAACGATCCTCCTCATCCTCTTCGTCGTCATCTTGCAGAAGAGCCTCTTCCGATATCTCTGGACCAATCTAAAAATCCCACACATAACAATAGAGATCAATCATCCAGATAAAATAAATAAACCACTCACATCCTCATCGCCTTCGAGAATACTAGAGTCAATCAATTGCTCTTCTTCGTTCTCCGAAAGCAGGACTGTTCTGTTCGATCCGCTACTCCTCTGTCGATTCAACTGCTTGCTGTTGCTCCAAGTAATAGATAAAGTTCGATCCTAAAATAATACATTTAAATAACAAACTAAATCGAAATTTTTACATTTTACCTGAAAATGTTTTCCTTTCAACAGCGCCATTTCGGCCTCTTTGCGCGTCTTGTAGTTCAATGTGATACTCGGTAGAGATGTATCAGTTTCGTAATCGACGATTTCTCCGTATTGCTAAAATCAAATAGTTAATTAGTATAGTAAGGGATAATTTAATAACTGGTTACCTGAAAATGGCTCAAAACGCTGTCTTGTTCATCGGTTTCGTAACCGGACACGAGGAGTCTCGTAGGCCTGTGATCGACGGCGTGTTTTTGAAACGCAGTGGGCACAGGAGCAGCAGCTGTAGTAGTCAATGATGTAGCAGAAGAGGTTCTGTTAATACGCAAATTCGGTTTCGGTTCTGAAATAAACCAATTATTAAAGTTTTCAAATAATCGCTTTCGATTAATCATACTCAAGTTATTCTTCGAGAGAAGATGTCTGCTGACGATAGGAGTGTATCTCCTACCAACACCTCTACCTCTCGTAGCTTTAGCGGACGTGGCGATTTTGGCCTTCAATTCCGTGAGTTTTTTCACGATTTCCGAAGTGTCCGCTCCCTCCTGTTGCTTAGCTATCAAATCCAGTTCGGCGTCGAGCAGCTCTTTTTGGGTTTCTTCTTTGGTTTTCTTCGCTGGCGCGTTCTTCGCCGCCAAAGCCGTGGCTTCCAGATCCTTTTTGATTTCTTCGATGGCTTCTTGAGTCTTCTTTATAGTCTCTTTGATGACGTCGCGTTGAGGACCAACGGGAACTAAAAAAATCGAAATTCAATTACTTTTCCGACAAATATAATCGTTAATTCGACTTACGTTTTTCCATCTTCTCGATCAGAATCTTCTGTTGCGAGAGTTGCTTGTCGAGCAATTCCTGTTTCTTCTTGCGCAGATCGTTCTGGATTTTAAGCACTTGCTTCCGCTGAACGTCCTGATTCTTCTTCACTTTCACTTGGGTCGCGATCAATTCCTGGTTCTTTTTTATGGCTTCCGTGGCCTGTTGCTTGCTCTCCTCCTTCGTGATCGTTTTCTGTTTGTCGTCTTCGGAGGCATTGATAGCGACCGCCGGATCGTCGGCCTTCGGTTGAACTAGATTCAGAACTTTGTTAGTATTCGGCAGTACGGGCGAGGTGCCACCGAGGCGGTCCTTAATAGAGCGTTGGTGCATCGGGGGCACGTTCTCCTGTTTACCTTCGCCGAGCACCGGCTGGCTGGAGTTGTGCCAGAACACTTTTATGAAACGATTGTTCAACACTGCTTCGGTGCTGCGATAGGCAGCGTTCGCCTCGGCGTGACTAGAGAACGTTATCAACGCGGATTCGGGATCCCCCTCGTATTGTACCTGCACAACAAATCATTGTAGGTGGTAATCGAAACATGAATTAAGCGATGCGAACCTGGATATTGACGATTTTTCCGAATTTCCCAAAGTGGTTGTTCAAATGGGTGATGCTGTTCATGCCCGGCGGTACTTTTTTCAATTCCAACGAACAGTTCTGGGGATTCTTGGCGCGCGATCCTAACCTGTTGAAATCGAAAGATTTCTTTTTGTACATATTTTCGTGGTCCATGTTATTAACGAAATTTCCAGGAGGGTGATTGTACATCGGTGCGTAGGAATCCGGTTGTTTGTTGTCCACGACAGGCACTGGGATCAATTCGCGATTAATGTTGGGCTGAGGGGCGAACGGACCCATGGGCATCTATTAAATTATAGATATAATACTGGAAAAAATCTTTTAAAATCTTTAATACTCACTCTAGCTATGCCCATTGGTCTGGGTCCACGGAATCTTCCATCTCTGAAGATGTGCGGTGCTTGAGGGTTGTAAGGATTATCGTGAGGCATTGGCATTCTTTGGCCCATCATAGGGTGACCGGGAGCGTTAATAACGGGCGCTGGAATCACAGCAGATGATACGACAGTAGGTGCACCGTTGGGATTGTACGTTAATACACGTGTTAAGGCAGAATCTTCCAGTACGACTGGGTCAATTCCGTGATCGAAAGGACACATTTCCCCGCGCATACAGTAACCTATAAAATATACAATTACGATTTAATAATTGTACTAATTTGATGATTTTTAATGTACCTTTTTCATCGAAATCCCTACACCGTTTTTTGCTACCGGGTACAACAACACTAGGAACACTTTGAGTTCCTAATCTACCGTCCAAATCTGGATTAGCATCTTGAGTAGGAGTTCCAGCTCTCGAGCCGTTATCTTTATCTTTGCCGGAATCTCTGCGATCGCGTTTCTCCATCGATCTGGATCGGCTACGGCTCATCGACGATCTGTTCCTATACCTAAAGTTTCTTATTACACATTCTCATAAACCTAACGTATCATTAAACTAACCTGCTTCTGTGCGAATGCCGCGGGCTCCTCGATCTCGATCTTATCCTAATCGGAGAAGGAGTTCTCGATAGTCGCCGTCTGTCGTACCTCCTAGGCGGCGACTTGTTCCTCCAACCTCTAGGTCTATCCAGCCTCTCCCTTTTTTCTCGTTCTATCCGGTGCGCGTCCCGATCCACGCGATCCCTAGATTTCTCCCTCGATCTGGACCTCTTGACGCGATCCCACGATCGCGATCTGGATCTGGTGTGCGATCGGGTACGATTGCGAGTGGGGGATCTCCTGCGTACAGGACGGTCCGCAAGGCGTTCCTCACGCTCCTGTTGTATTAAAAATTATTAATATGTAATGTGTGTGAGGTGTTAATGTGGTAATTAATCTTACCGCATCTGAATTCTTTCTTGGTTCTCGATCTTTCTTCGGTTCGATATCCTTTTTGGCATTACCATTGACCGCCTCGTTTAAGTTGGGCAGTTCACTGGGCTGTATAATGATTTTCGTTTCCTTCGCAGGTTCTTTAGTAGGTTTGCCCACGTTGGGATTGGGAGGGTTTGTGTTGGGTATGACCGGGTCATTGATGTAGTCCTTCGTAGCCAGCGTTTGAAATACTAAATCGACAAACGATTCGGTTTCTAGAACAAAAATTGCCAATTAGATTTTTGTAAGGTTAGGGTTTGATTGATTACGATTACCTGCTTCGAGGAAAACATCTAATTGACCTATCATGGATTTTCGAAGTTCTTCCTCGGATTTGTCCTTTTTGATCAGAGCCAAGACGTATTTAGCTAGAGCTGCTGGGTCCGCCTCGCACCTAAAACATAAATATTATTATTAGGTACCACTGATTATATCCGTTCGAATATATGCAATTAGTAAGTTCAAAAAACTAAACAATTAACTAAAATAGAACAATTTGAAATGGAAGAAGGGTCGTCTTACATAGGCTTCAAAACAGCTGTTAACCAAGTTTTGAACGCATCGATTTGATCTATTATCATTTTGAAACGTTAATTGACATTTATTTTATAATGCAATTAAAGAAATGTCCCGGATTTTCCTGAAAATTCACCAATTTTTCGTAAAAGTTGCTGACAAATTCGCCAAACTCCTATCACTCGCCTTACTAGAAAGTAACGTGTTGCCAACGGAAAGAAACGAAAAATTACTATTTTAGGAAGCGACTTACCACCAACTGAGAAAGTAAAAGTTACCAAAATAAAACTTGATTCGAATCTAAATAAAGAAAACTAAAATTAAAATCGTTCGTGTGATATAAAATTCAAATTAATAAATTTATTAGACTAATTTGTAGTATATAATTATTTGATTGGTTTTCGAGAATGTACAATTATTTAAAATTGCAAGTAAAATATAAATTTCTAATTGTTGCTTTTTGCAATTTGTTCTTGGGTATAATTATTCAACAGAAAATTATACAGGTGATGTAATTCACTGGTCAAGCATTATAGTAACCCAAAGCCAATGATACAAGGTTTTCTTATCTGAATCATATGAAACATTCACTTGGACCATTAGGGTCGCATAATTCTCATAATACATTCTTCCTACCTTTTTTAGCGCACATCTCATAAAGTTTTAAAGTTTCGCATATTTTCGTATTACGTGCGCTAAAAAAATCGCTCCTTTGCGTGAATTTTTCATTCATTTCATTTTCATAGATAAGATTTTAAGGTTGTATATAAAAATCTAGTCTGTGGTAAGTTATTTTTGGTAATATAAGTGGGTAAATACGATAAAATATTTTAAAATTGCTTATCAAACATGTAACATATGGGTGACAATATTGCGAGCTAAATATTTTAATTAATAACACTAGAAAAATTCGCAGATTCAAAAATTATTCTCACATTTTGTGGCATAGAAAAACGTCAAGGTAATTAAAAAAAATGTCAGATGAAAAATAGTGTCGAATACTACAGTACCGGTAAGTTAATAATAACCAAATAAACCATTAATAAATAATATTACTACCAATAATTAGTTGATAATAAATAAATGGTGTTGTTGTAAAAATAATTTATAACAATTGAACGTTTTAAACATATTTCTAAATTAAATATACGGTATCGAAAATTTAGACAGGTATTGAGGTATTTTTGAGGTTAGGTCACATTTCGATTGATCCGATATCCGTTTCAAATTATTTTATGGGCTTCCGATTTTTTCTCCTAATTCCTAATCAATCTTATCTGATACGTTGATAATTAGAAATTGTCTCAGAATGTGCGAAAAGGACGGCGATTCGAAGGCGAGCATCGAGGAGGACATCGAGAACCTATCGCACGAAGATTTATTAGAAATAACGCAGAGCAGCATCCGAAGGCTCATTACTTCTGATCCACTTTTGAGCGATTTGCCCCCTGATGTAACGTTCGAGGAAGTCGTGGCTCAAATAGCGGTAGCCCAGGGACAGAGCATAACTGTTACAGTTAATAGGTATTCTGAGTCTCCTCTGAATGTTGTTGTAAGTATTATTAGGGTACTGCATTTTATTTTAAGTAGTTTAACTGTAAAGGAATGCCGCAGAAGTATCTCGTAAAGAAATCCTCAACTAACGTAACTGTAGAGTATGAGATTGCAATCATTTTTGATGTTAAAGGAATTGGATATAGAGAGGAAAGAAAGTTTGGTAATATTATGCTGATATTCTTTCACAATAGTAAATTATGCTTATATAATTTATTTTTATAAAAATATCAACGTTTCTATTTTACGTATTGCTTTATTAAGCCGAAGCTGGGCAATATGTTTTATTTTTTACAATTACATTGTTAAATAATATTACGAATTAAAAAAAATAACTTTCCAATGGAATGTGTACATTAACATTAAAATTGATTGTTTTTTCAACAATAAATATTAACATTATTTTCCAGTGTGGAAATTGCTTTTCCAAATAATACGATAAAATACTTGTAGATTGGTTTCGTGTTCAACTAACTAGCTGATTCATTTAAATGCTGTCCAATCAATCCATTAATTTGTCGAATTGAACTTTGTGTTTATAATTAATTGATTCATCAGTTTATTGGAAGATAAATGCGGATTTCTCTAATGTTAACCTTGTAATATAAGCATATTAAACAAGCTAGCAAGCATCGAGAGCTGTTATTAAACAGAGTAACACATGTCGTAAGAATACAAGTTTTTTTATACCTTGAAAATTTTGTTAAATACCATCTTGTTGAGTGGCTAGTCTAGTACAACACAATCTACTCATTTTGGTAATAAATTAATTTTTTACTACTAATATTCTTACTTTGTGTATAAATTTACATTTATTTTATTATTCCAGATTCCTCAAAAGGGTACAACAGTACTAGACCTAAAGAAAGCCATAAGGCGTGCCTTTACGTTGAAACAACAGCGCCAGAGGATCAAGACGAAAATAAGTTGGAGGTATGTGTGGAAGACCTACTACTTGCAGAACATTCAAAACGGTCAGGTCATGATACAGGATAAAAAAGAAGTATCGGAATACGGTAAAAATATCAAACAATAGCGATAATTGAGTATTAATACGTTCCATTTCAGGAATAGCAAATAAATCCCAAATTAGATTTGTGAAGCGGCTAAGGAAAGAATCTTCAAAGACCGAGTCATGCTGACTGACTATGTTAATAAAAAAAGTTCATCTGAGTTGGAGCCCTATTGTTGCTCTTCTAATTTTTCCACTAGTTGGTAAATTGTCACGTTTTTATCTACTTCTTTTATTCATACATGTAACATTTTAGCTCCTGCAGATAGCAAATACCCTTGGCTGGATCAAATCTCAAGACAAGAGCAACTTTTAATGGGTTGCGAGAACATGGGATTAAAGTACAAGAAAAAAGTTACTGTAAATATGTTGAATCACATTTTGGTGGATCATCATCATAAATTATTGTATTGTTACGTTCCGAAAGTTGCTTGTACAAATTGGAAGAGGGTAAGCTATTAAATTTGCAAAAATGTGGTAGTTTATTATTTATTAAATTCTCTTTTAGGTACTTATGGTGTTAACGGGCGAATCGAATGCAACAAATCCAATTCAAATTTCAGCCAGTACCGCACATTTGGATAATTCCACTTTGAAACTGTCTCAGTTAACAGTACCTGAAATAAGAGAATCCTTGAGACAATATACTTTGTTTTTAGTAGCCAGACATCCTTTCGAACGATTGTTGTCTGCTTATAGAAATAAATTTTTAGGAAACAACACTATTAGCAATTATTTTAAGGTACATATACCAAAGTATTTATTAATACACCGATTATCAACGTTTTTTTTTCTTGTAGAATCGTTATGGAAAATACATTATCCAAAAATACCGTAAAAAGTCCATGTTTGCGGATTCAGGATCGGATTTTGTTACGTTTAGAGAATTCATACAGTATTTAATTAAAGAAGGAGTTCGTTCCAATGAACACTGGACGCCCATTTATGATTTGTGTTTGCCTTGCTCTCTCGATTACAATTTTATTAGTAGATACGAAACGATTCCCGACGATGCCAGTACAATTTTAAATATGGTTAACGCGCCGTCTCTCGTGTTTCCTGCCACCCGATCCGGCCGAACGAAAGACAACCTGAGGTTTTATTTCCAGCAATTAAGCATTTATGAAATAGAGGCGTTGTACAAATTGTACGAGGCCGATTTTAAGCTATTTGGATACGGGTTGGAGGAAATGTTGGGTTACGATTTGGCCTAAAACTTACCAGTATTCAGTCAAGAATGCGCTATTTTTTGTTAATTTACTCTTTGACGAGTGAATCTTTTGTGACACGTTAATTTTAACTTCTAATATGTAAATATTTTATACTGTTTTAAATAAAAGAATTTTTTAAGGCAACAGTTTTAATAAATAACAATTCTCTATCGTACATTCACATTTGATTTGATTTGATAAAAATTGTACACTGCGACTAATACTTCATTTCGTCCATATTTCACAAGATGAAGGCTATAAAAATTGGACTCCAACGCCGAATTGTACGCCCGGGTGCGTCTGGTCGCTTTTATCGTGAACGTAAGGAAAACAATAATTAATTTCTAATCGTGCCATATTGCCGAGTCTCAAAGCTATTCCCAATCCATAAGACAATCTAACGTTGTTTCTCATTAGTTCCAAAATACTCTGACCCGATTTCACTAAAATAAAACCATCAATCAGACGAGGCTTTTACAAAATAGTTCTTACAAACCTTCGATATTTCCAACGTTTCCGGTGTTAACAAAAAAGTGTGTTCTGAACAAGTCGCCAAACCCTCCTTTGCCAGGTCTAAAAGGTAACGGTGTGAATAAATGGAGTCCTCCGGCCCAATAAACATTCGAACCCAGAGCGTCTCCATCAGAATGTGGGCCAATACCTCGCATTTGAAATCCTCTAACAGACAGAGGGCCACCGAGGAAATACATATCAGCTAGACTAATTTTTAGATCTTTGTTTATACTCTTCATGTATCCCATTGTCAAACTACCTTGAAGTACCTAAAAGCATAATATAAATAAAACGTACAGCACTATTATTAAATAAAATCTTACAATATCTGGTAAAATGGAGTAATTTGTTTGGACGAAAACATCATTTTTTAAAAACCCTACATCTCCGCCTACTCCCGCATACTCGGACGTGAGTTGTACTAAAGAACCGGTGGTTGGGAATATAGTTTCATCTCTCAAATCTAAAGCAAGGATGTGCTTCAAGGACGATTTCAAACTCAAACCCGATTCCTTTCTAACATCAAACGAGGCGTTGCGACTCAGCACACTAAGATCCCTGATGGTGCCTTCCCATTGAAGAGTATGCTTAAGCTACAAGAAATTAGTTATATTAAAAATATTCAAAAGTATCGTGACAGTCGTACTAATGGCCACGAATAAAATCCTAATCCTAGTGTAAGTCCTTTTTCCATCAATTTGTACGCAGAGGGTGGATATTCAGTGTTCGATTGGAAGATGCTCGTGTTCAGCCTGAAAATGTGGTGCTTTATAACTTGATAGTTTCGAAAAGTGGGATACTAACTTACATTGTTCGGTGTTTACCCCTGAATGGTTTAATAAATGCCACGTTAAAGTTACTGGTTTTTTTCGAACCATGGCTGTACTCGACTTGCACCTTCTCGCCTCTGCCGAATATATTCGGTGCCCTCACGCCGATCTGCAAGACGCCTTCGTTGTTTCCCACGTGAGTACTTACGCCTCCTAGTATCCGTTTGTGCTCTTTTACGTTGAAGGTTACCTGTAAATGGTAGTTTATTAAAGCGAATTCTTAATTCGTTGTTCTATTAATTACTTCTAGTCCATCAGGAGTAGCTTTGGGTCCTTTACTGGTGTCTATGTACACTGCGATATTCTTAAAACAACCAAGTTCATCCAATTTAACCCGCACCTGTAAGGGTTAATAGGATTAAAATGTGAATTTACGGTTCACAGGTTATTATACTGACCGTATAAGCTTTTAAAAGTACTTCCCAAAAATCTCTAGCTTTGAATAGATCCTGTATGGAATCTTGTATAATATCGTTTTTTGTTCTTGACAGCCCATCGATGTGTACTTTGTCTACTCTTGCCTAAAAATTTGCATATTTAATGAATAATTAGTAAGCAATATTGTTATAATAACAATACCCTGACTCCTTTTAAATCAAGTTCTTTCATTTGCTCTTTATCAGGAAGTTCTCTGGCAGTATTAGTTGGATAATGTGCTTCGGTTAAATTTTCTTGTACCTAAAATTTAAGGTTAAGTTTATGTAGGTTAAACTTAAAATGGGCTTGGTACTCACTTTAGCATGCACAGTCCCCATTTTTGGTCGATAATAAGTACACGGATATAAATTTAAAACATTGTTCTTTTAATTTAAGTGATTTTTCAAAATCTGACCGAAGCAGACCCCATTTATCAATAGCGATATATTTTTGACTTTTGAAATTCGATAGTTGGTGCCAACTTTAACAACAAAAAGTCACCAAGTCGGTGCCTCATATTGCTGAGATCATAAGTTAAAATAAAAAAAGTTTATTCACATTATCCAATACAAGAAATGATATAATTTTATGAGTTATGTAAATATTTAGTGTATAAAGCAGTCGGGAAAATTACATTTTTGTTAAAGTTGGTATCCTACTATTTTTTTTATTAAATAATATAACAAATTTTAAAATATACAATTTTTTAATGTTGTCTACAATATTATTTTGAGCCTATCACATAAAAAATAATAACCTATCTAGTAAAAAAGTATTCGTTATTGTAAATGAAGAAATTTTAACGGAACGCGTAAATTAACATAACAATTGTACAAAACGAAACTACTAAACCCAATATAATGGAATCCCTCCGTTTTCTGATGTTAATTCTTTGTATGACGCTATTAATAATGGGATATCTGTTCGAAATATCGTTGAACCTCGTTTGGAGTCGTTTGAAAGTCTGTCTTTGGGAGTTCAAATGTTCTCTCGTTTCCATTGCTATTGATATTTGTTCGTTCACTAGACGATCAGAACTGAAACACAAATACAATTACAAAACGATTTTTTCTCAATAAAAACTTTAAACTTACTTATGTATATGTTGGTTCTCTTTCAGGTAAATATCTCTTCTGTTGTTAATACCATCGGATCTAAAACTCTCAGAGCCCCTCAGCAGGTCCTCTCGTTGCCTTTGAGACTCTCTGAGCGAGTTCGTTTTTCGAAAATCGCGAGATAAATCCGCCAAAATGTCTTTGTGTCGTTGCAACGTGTGTAACATGGCAGCTCCAGTTACAGGTTGTTCTGAGAGCCGTTCATTTATATGAGTCAACTAAAATACTTGCGTATTTCAACGAATGCTAAATAGACTGACGCTCGACTTACTCTGTTTAATAAATCTTCGATTTCCAAAGACATGGCTTCGAACGTATCATCTCCTGATAGTAATGGTATAGTGTCGGGATGAGATGTACTAGGCGTTTTTATTCCAGCTCCCAGTTTACTGAAAGCTACTAGTTTCAAGTCTATTTCATTTTCTAGATGCCTGGCCTGTTTTCGCAGGTCTACAACAAGATAGTTATTGTAAATACATACTTTGAACTCTATAGGGATGGGATATTTGGAATTACACATCACCATTTACTAAATATGAATTATGGGAGACTAGTACAAAGTTAAAATGTTGTAAAATATAAAGATTTATAGCTGATATTTTGTTCACTTACCTTCATAAGATAAGGCTGTAGCCATATTCGCAAATAATTTAGAAAAATAAAATTTTTGCCAACTGTTTTCAATGCTTTTGACACTTTGTAAATGTTGACATTGACGTTTAATCATCTTGTGTACATTGTTGCCAAATTTTAATAACAATAAACAGTGATTTTATAATAAATATACCTTATATCGCATTGATTATATTCATAGAAATGCAATCATATTCATTTTTTATTATTGTTTCTTGTTTTATAACTTACAATTACCAGTGGTGGTAATCTACTCTTTTCTGATTTTCTTTATAACTCAATTGGCAACAAAGTACACGTAAGGTACCGGTTCCACTTTGACAGATGTCAAAAGTTCATAAAAACAAAAATGGGAATAAAAAGTAAACAAACACGTTGTGATGCACATTATTTATTTAGAAAGATACAAAAATACCCACTTAAAAAAACAAAATACGCACCCAAACAATGATCGTTATTTTTCCAAAAATCATTTTGAAATTTTACCTTACACTGGGTTAAAGAAATTAAATTAATACATGGAGTAAATTATCACCAAAAAAAATTGGAATACAGCCAAAATGTTTGTTTGACAATTTCAAACAAAAAAAATATTATAGGAATGTATAATACGAGTATTGTATAAGTTTATATACAAAAATAGTACTGAAAAAAATCAGTAAAGCTGCAATAATAGTAATTTTTAACTTATTTTGCGTAGTAACTGGGTGGCATATTTTCCAAATTGTATGTAGTGGCATTGTAGGGGCTGTCTATTCCAAAGGGACTGTACATTTTAGTGGGAGTCCTACCTAGAAGTTGCCTTGAATACGGTGTATTACCAGCCACATTCGGGGTCATAGGACCTTCTTCCAAAATTTGTCGACGTTTCGTCGATATCTTAAACTTCTAAAAACCATAAATTGAATTAAACAGATTATAATAAAATATAACTCTAACTCAGATTACCTGTGTAAAAGTACCTATAGATGTTCTAAACGTGTTGAACGTTTTAGTTAGTCTTTCTGCACCGTTTCTGAGCGTTTTCCTGGCATTATCGTTGAATGATAGCACAGACAAAACCGATCGATCGCTATTGTACGAACGATTTCTTTGATTTTCATCGAAGTTGTCTTCTAATTTCCTTCTGCAATTCTGCATGGCCGCACTTCTCGCCGACGTATTTTCGGCTACACCTCTGCGAAACGTAAATGAATCACTCTTACCAGGTAGCATAATTTTATTGCTTCGACTTGTCTCAAAATAATGAGTATAAAAAAACAAGAAACTTTTCAAACAAGAAACCGTTACAATTTTTTAAGGTCGTGGAATATGGCCACTGACAGACACCTGCCAATGTCATAACTGTCATTTTTAATTTTTTATGAACCTAAAATGGAGAAGAAATTTGTAATTTATGAAAAGCGGAAAGTATAATAGAGTAGCCAGTTGTATTACTGCTTTAAATAATTAGGTCAGCTAGTGAGGAATTAGAGATAAGTAGATTTTTCCGCTCAAGAAAATTTGTGGCTGCTGTAATAGTTAGGCCGAGTCAATAAATTGACGTCAACAACAAGTTCCAAATTTCTACGAAAGGTGGCCAACACCAACAATCAATATAAAATTTTTGTTTGACAATGACGTTATTATTTTAAGAATTTCATTTTCAACACAAATATTGAAACAAAACAATTACAATTAGCCCATTTAATTATTTAAAACCGAGTGTTTTTGTTTATATGTTACGAGTAATGCGCACCGGAAAGTGGAACAAGCTGCTGGCAACAATCCTCTTCTAACCTCTTTCTGGATTATCGGGGTATTGAAATAAAACAAAAAAAAGGGTTCAAATAAAGGCGCAGATATGCCGGAACAGAGCAACGATTACAGGGTGGTTGTATTCGGAGCCGGCGGTGTTGGTAAAAGCTCGTTGGTGTTGAGATTCGTCAAAGGGACATTCCGCGAGAGCTACATACCTACCATCGAAGACACATATCGACAAGTAAGAGCACAGTCTCGGCGCTATTCACTAGGCGAATCTTTATTTTATTTTCAGTTGATGTACTGTTTTGTTACTTGATGTATTTTTATTTCTTTGCCTTGATGTTTTTTTATTGCGGTAAGTAAGAGATTTTATTTTGCTTGATATATCTAACAATTTCTAACTCGATTATAGTTTTAATCCTTGAATTTTTGAAATTCCGAGTAATTATCATTCAACTTATATAAACTGTATTTATATAGGTGATAAGTTGCAACAAGAACATCTGCACTCTTCAAATAACGGACACCACGGGTTCCCATCAGTTCCCGGCCATGCAGCGGCTTTCCATAAGCAAAGGGCATGCTTTCATTTTGGTGTATTCGGTCTGTAGCCGCCAATCCCTGGAAGAGCTGCGGCCGATATTTGATGTCATTAAGGAACTAAAAGGTCCAGATACCAGCCAAATTCCCATCATGTTGACTGGCAACAAATGCGACGAAAGCGCCGAGCTAAGAGAGGTATGTACACCATTGTTCTTAAATATCTCCTTATTAGTTTCGAATTTAACTAAATTTTATTAGGTGAGCACTTCGGAGGGACAAGCGCAGGCCGCCGAATGGGGCGTCAGTTTCATGGAGACGTCTGCAAAGACCAATCACAACGTGAAGCAGCTGTTCCAGGAGTTGTTGAATTTGGAAAAATCCAGAAACGTGAGTCTCCAAATAGGGGGCAAAGCGAACAGCAGAGTGGCCAAAGATAAGTGCGAAGTCATGTAAAAGCCCGGCGTCTGGGTAGGATTTAAGTATTTAGATGCTTTTGATTAATCTGCTAATGTTCTGTTTCGATTCTAATGCTCGGGATTTTAGTTTGTTATTAATATTGCCAAGAATAATTCGTTTTCACAGATATTCTACTTGTACACTTTATCTTATGAACTGAAATGTTCCAAGCATTTCTTTTGAAGCAGAATACGTTTTATGTCTTACCGATGATTTTAGTTGGTTGGTTATCGAACGTTGCTTAGAATAATGTTAATTAGTTCGCAGGAAACAGTAAGCTTCTTTAAAAGTTTATGTCGAATAGAAGGAATTGTAAGCAACGTTCATCCTCTATTGTGCAATAATGTATGTACTGATTTTCTTTAATTCTTTATCCAATTTCGTTTTCTACTTCGATGAAACGTTGAAATTTCTTTCATTATTCATGGGTCACTAATCGAAAATATCATTGCGAGCGATAATAAAAATACGATTAGTTGTGATATATAGCAAAATAGTTTGCAAATTGGGAAATTATTAATTGTTGAAATATTTTTTAGATAAATACAATTACGTGAAGTTAATCAAAAACCGAAAAAAAAATTATTTTCTGGTATATGTCGTATAAAAAACGGTAATGTTAAAAAATGGATTGTGATTTGAATTTGGTAAGGAAAGCAAATTTGCTCGTTTAAAATTTATTTTTGAATTATGAATAGTCGGTTTACAACACACTTTTTTGGTGAATCAAGCCTTAAGGAAGGTATAAATTTAAACGTTGTTAAATTTGACATTTTTTATTATTACATACGCATTTAGTATGTATCGAGTAAAAACCAAACGATAAGTGTACCCTTATTGACTGTTACGAGATAAAAGTGCCCATCCGCGGACAATATTAGCTAAAACACCCTGTATGTTTTTCGCTATGTACATAAACTTAAATTTGAACTGTTAAAGCTCGTTTATATTTGGGCAGTTTGTTTGCCAATTCTAATTTTCGCATCGTAATCTTCTCGGAATTTCTGAAATAAAATGCGAAAGATATTTCGGAATTTCGAACTTACATCGCAAATCATCGGGTATAATATGATCGACCGCACTAGGAACTTAACATGCTATATAATACATTCCATATCCCCTTAGTACAATGTTTATCGACAAAAAGAGCCACGATAATATCATGTATGCATGCTAAAAAATGTAGTGGATGGTTATTCGACGATTATTGGGAGGTAGTACCCGAATTTAAAATGTTATTTTTTGATGTAAAGCTTTTAAATGATACGAGAAATTAGAGCAATTTTAGAGGTTAGTTAGTACCATTTTCGTTGGTGATAGAGACTGATAATGGGCGACTCAAGTTGTACGCTTGAAAAATATATTAGAAACATTTTGAGGCGCTCTGGCAAACGACCAATGAGCTCTTTTTGTCCGACATTTCACAATTCATATAATGTGAAACATACATTATCCGTAACGAATAGCATATCAGTAACCGTAGTTTTACGATATACTAAATAGAAGTGCTAGAAATAAAGAAAAATATATAGTTGTTAAATAAAGTTTAAGACAAACGGACCCTGGGTCGAGTACGCCGATTCTACAATATATTATTTTGTATAACCCTCTTGTAGTTGTTATTCGAAAATAAATAAATTCGTTGTTATAATTGGTATAGAGGACCACCTGTTAAATGTTATTTTAGCGCAGAGGAAATCCCGACCGATGTAAATTGTTCAATTATCATCGTTGGAAAGTTTTTAGTGCAAATAACGGGTGTCCCAAAAGTAAATGAATTCATTTTAAATCCTCAATGAAACACATCTTTGCGATGAAATATTCGCAATTTTGTGGGGAATTTCCTCTTAATAATTCCCAATTGCTTCAGTTTTATTGATATACATTCTATCCTTAAAATAATCCCACAAGAAGAAATCTAAGGGTGTCAAATCCTATGCCCATGCCAATTAAATATTTCTTTCAATAACAAAATTAAATTTCACAATTTCCATCTGTTGTTTGATCATGTACTTGTCCATAACTGAGCATTAATGCCTCAATGATTACTGATGTCAGCTCATAAATATCCTAGATTTATCATGAGCCTGTCAGTACATAGAATGTCAGTTATTTTTGGGACACCCTGTACATTTAACCGTTTCGAAATTAGTCGGGATTTTACTGCGATCGGCGCGCTCCGTCGAAGGGGACATTTTTTAAACTAAAAAACTTAGTATGGGTGCTACTGCAAACAAATTAAATTGTTCGTGTTATTAAAAAAAAACAAAGAACATTTGTTATAATTCACGCTTATAGTGTTCACTATATGAACTGCAATTATTGTGATCAAACTTTATATTGTATTTACGCAACGAAGTACGTTAAAAATCATATCGAGGTATTTGTCGAGGTGGAATGTATTCGATTTGTTCGAAGTTTATTGTTATTTTATTTATAGGAAAGGTACATTTTATTGTGCGAATTTGCATTGATTTGGTTAATTTAGAAGAGAAATACATCGCCGAAATGTAATGTTTTGGACGAATACTACAACAAATACTTCGATATCTTGTAATTTAAAGTTATAAATAAATAACTAACTATAGCGGAAATATTATAATTCAAATATAAAAAAAAAATCTAAAATTTTCAATTTCTCGCTATTAGATGCTCTCAAATCATTCTGCATTCTAAACTACTTGGATATTTTCCACAAGAAAATGGTTTTACCGTTTATTTATCTAACAAGGTCGTAAGGATTGCGGTAATTTGTTGCCAACGATATTTTTTAATAATTTTTATGCACTAGAAAAGATTAGAAGCAATTTATATAGTTCCTGTTGGAAAGTTATGAATTTGCTTGTTACTACTAACTTTTAATTTACTAATGCATAAAAATAACTTTGATAAATCTCGAACTTTAAGGTTAATTAGAATGGTCATTGATCATGATTTGTTTTCCTGTAAATTGTCATGGTATAGTGAACTACATTTTGGATTTAAATACCCGTGTAAAAATGTTCAAAGAACGAGTTGTGTTTACAACATTTTCTTCATCTGGCTGTATCTACGAGCGGTGTTTTTGCGGAAACCATTTTTAGAAGTACCCTTATATAAATACTGTATCTTCCTGTTTGGTTGTATTAGAGAAAAAATATTTTTTGAAAAAATAACGTCTAGGTATAGTCAGCTTTCCTATCGTCTGTAATTTTATTCCTAAAACGGGCGAATCAAAATATTTAAAAAAAATTATCATGATTTATTGAACGTAACGGTATTTTTATTTAAAAAAGTATCTTGATTCGCCTCTTTGTGTGAAACCTTGACCTTTTTCGTGTGAATTTTGTAACTTTTCAAATTTCGTCAGCCTCAACTTTCTGAAACTTTATCTAAAATCTATTATCTAGAAGAAAACAACGACACACAGCGGAATTCTAAAGAAATATCGAAAAATGTTACACCGAACGAAGTTATATAACTTTTACGACTGCATTTACAGGTCGTGTTGTAATTTAAAAGTTGCAAAATGATTATTAAAATAGCGTTTGTAATTCTCTTTTTTGACACCTCTTTTTCTTCGATATAGTGTTAATTTGTAACACAAATTTATATTAATTAATAATCATTATTACCAAAAATCTAATCTTCTTATTCTTCCTGTTCTACACTTCCTATTCTTCCTTTTCACACAATATATATTTTATTTTAAGAAAAACGCTTCGATAACATAGAATCTAAACTATATTTCATTTTGCATTGTCGTTGCATACAAAAATAACAATAAATTAAAATAATAACGAATGATTGGAATGGTTAACAAGAGTGATGGAATGAATCGATGAAGCTTAATAAGTTAAGACATTTTGCAATACGATGGGATCATCAACTGAGGTACGCCGTTTACCAGCGCCTTCTGCCATTTCGGACAAACCGTGACGCTGAAAACACATAAAAAATCATTAATTTCTTTTACATGTACCCAAAGAAGAATGAGTTATCCCAAGATTCCCTCCTTTTCCTGATCCAGAGAGGCCACCAAGATGATAAAAAAACCCCTTTCCCAACGAAACAACGTGTATAAGAACCCCACTCTCACCTTTCTTCGTTTTCCAACGATTCCACGGTGATCTTCTTCAAGTAAATCTGGGGCTGCGTCCACAGCCTCCACGTCAGCGGATTGAACAAGCTGCTGTTGAACCTCCACTCGATCTCCACCGCCCTCAGGTGCGGCACCGAATCCGTCGCCACGACGCCCATGTAGAGGCTCCCCGGCTCGTGGAAGCCGCTCACGAAGCCCACCGGCGTCGATTTGCGCCCCCGGCCGTTGCTCGTGCTGTGCATAGTGAAGTACAACTGCCCCACTTCGCCGCCGTGGATTTTGGACACGTTCGAATTCGATACTTGCACCACGATCCGGTAGTGGTGTTCTAAAAGCCACGATTATTAAGGTAAGTGCTCTCTTTGTTGTAGTGTATCCGCCTCATAAAATGTAGCTTGGCAAATGGGGACGAAAGATGCTGACTAAGTAAATAATGACGATAAATACTTACTGCAAAAAGGTTTGTTTTCACCGGTTATGAGATATTGAATTCTGCTGGTTTGTTTTGATCGAGTTGCGAAATGCTTTTCGTAGTGTTTCCTGCCGTGGAAACCGAAGGGTATGCAATTTTCTTTCGATTTCCCGCAACCGAAGCACCTGCCTAACGTGAAATCCTACAAATATAACGTTTATTAATCAATTAATGATGTTCAAAACAGTGATAAACTCACTTGAAAAGATGGGCAAGATACCGTTAGAAACTTGCACTGTGGATTCGACGTGATGCTCTCCAAATAAAACTCGTGGCTTCTAATGTGATTGCAACCCAAATACTTCTTCATTCCTGTCAACATTATCTTGTTACTACCGGTACGTTTCGTGCAATTCTAATTTACCATTGAAGAAACTCCCGTTGGCGTCTCTGATGTACTGGGCCAGGCCGCTGGTGCATCCGGGCTGGTCGGTGCCGCCGTTGGGGTAGTAATCCACGTGGCCTATGCTCTCGACGATGCCCAGCCCGCCTCTGATGAACTGGCTGGCGTCCGTGTGGATGACGTCCACGTATTTGGCCGCCGTGCGGTCCAGACGGACCGGCGGACCCGCTTTGGCGAAGTGCGGCTCGGCCGGATCCAATCCGCTGATCCTTCCCATCGTCAGGTTGAATTTCTAAACGAAGGAATCTTAGATGTTTTGTCGAGTCGGTGCGATTTATTTACCTCTTGGAGGGTGTAGCCGATGTAGCCGCACATGTGCGCGCCCAGCGAGTGACCGATGGCGTGAACGTGGTCTAATTTCTGGGTGCCGGTTTGGTTGGCGATGCTCGCCAGTAGATGGGCTGTTATGGCGCCGACCAATCGTATGTTCGCTACTGCTTGGGTGAAAGGAGGACCCGAGCCCTTTTGCCAATCGATGATGATCACGTTGCAGTCTTCTTGGCTCAGCAGCACTCTTGCTATGTTGTGAATCTGTAAATATAGTAATCGTGGTGTATTGATTGCGTGAAATAGATACGGGGTAACTAACCCATGATATGCTTCCGCTTTCTATGTACCCGTGCGTGATCAGGTAGATGGGGTTCTTCGGTTTCAAATTAGGAGGAAGCTTCTTGCCAACGTCGGAAAGGTGCATCTGGACTGGGTTGTTTCCTCGCGTATGCAGCAAATACTGCGGTTCGATCTACATGAAAATTGGTGGTAAATTGAACGATCTAAATGCTAATTGTAGTAATTTCTTACTTTGTCTATTTCTTCGGGAAACGTCGATACAGGTCTGTGTTCCGACGTCCACGGGTAATTCAAATCGAAGCATCCGAAGTTCCGGTCGTATTTGTGGTAACATTTCGACGCGTTTGTTTCTATAAAATTATCTTGAAAATAAACTGGAATACTAGCTGTGTTAAATACAAGCAAAGTATACAGTGGACAAATGTAAATTAAATCGGATAATCAGTAAGCATATTCATATTTTCCATATTCCACCAATGTTTATATTATTTTTTGTAGCTTGTCTGATTTTGTAGAATTTTTGTTCACAATCGTCATAATATCGGGACCTTAGAATTGTTTTTCTAGAAAGATTTGTAAGTTATGTTTCCTTGTCGATTATTTCCCTTGAAATCTTCAAAAATATTTACTATTTGAAGGCCGGTACATCCTAAATCATCTTGACAGTTCTCCACATTTAACCCATGTTGAATTCTACTCCATAAAGATATCTAAATTAATTACCCTTAAAGGTTTTATTTTTCTGGGATTGGTTATTTATCCCGATGTTAGTTTTTCTTTTATCGCTTTGATTTCTTTATAAATTAAAGGTAAATCAATACTTAGTAATATGTGGTTAGTGGAAAAAGCATTGTTTGAAATAACTTTCGATTTCCTTTGTTAAAGCTTTATCCCATATATCCTGTTTAATTTTGCACGTACTTACCTAAACTCCTTTTAAACAAATCTTTGTTTTGAGTAGCTAAAAATAAATTATCAAATATAAAACGATTAAGTATAATAAAATGAGTGTTTTTTTAAATAGTTTCTAAATGATTTCAATTTCACGAATTTCCCAAATACGTACACCAAATCAAACAAATAAACAAAAACAACAAACACATTTAACAGTAGATAAACAACGTTTTCTTACCTTGGCCTATTTGCATGTAATAGAAATTGTAAGAGTTTTCATCGGCCTGGACGATGCGGCCGATCACCAGGAAAAGGGAAATTGACAGCAGGAAAACGCCGGTGTTTTTGTCCATAACTAATCGTTTCGCGCGCGAAAATTCACGTGTTGCTTTTTGATACGCAAGCCGTCGAATGAAATCGGTATCCGATTCGAATTTGACGAAAATATAAAATATCGGAACTAAAACTCTTGTTGTTTATCTGGGGTACAAAGTCCAGAGGTCAATAAGATCTTTGAGCAATTTTCAAATGTAAAAAGCTGGATTATATGGTTTTCCTTATTTTTTGTAAGAAAAAAAATTGAATTTGTTGTCTACAAAAAATGATCGAGAAAAACTAATCGAGATGCCATTTAAAACAGAAGGTCCTCGTCAACAATTAATGATGGTGAATCCTTCAATTTGCAAGAACAAAGGTTTTACAAAAATCTGTTAAAAAACACAAAATTCTGAATTCCTTAAGAAATACTCTAAAGAAAATAATGTTTGCATCTTTTCTTGCAGTCATAACAAAATTTATTGTGGCACTCAGCGTGTTATATAATATAATACTTGATGTAAAAATCCATTGCGATAATTTTTATTTCATTTGGCAACGATTACTAAAAAGTTTATTGAAATGCAAGGTTCTCCTTGAACTTTTATCTGCCTTATAACTGTATATTTTGTCTTCTTTATAACAAATCAATAGACTGATTAAATTAGTGTTATCGGTTTCTAATGATCCTTCATGCAAATTAAATACAATGCAAACACTGGACGAACTGTTTAAAAGTTCTAATCAGTTCTTGTTAATGGCCTTTTTATTCTATTTTTAATTTAAAATATGTTTGAAATTCATAACCGTAACGAAAACAACAAAAATGTTAGATATCTCGTTATTTTCTTGGAAATGCGTTGCAGATTTGCGTCAGTTAATAAAGTATTTGCAAATGACATAAGAAAATTTTAATTTCGAAATTTTAAATCGCATTTGGTCGCATTTTTGCGCTGTAATATAACATTTTTACGGTCTATTCTCGTCATATTAATTCGAAGTTAACCGATAAAAAAGAATAATAATAGTAAGTAAACATCTGGTTGTTAATAAAATTGAGATAAAAATAGTTATTTTGCAGTATCTCGTTACGCCTGTCACACTATCAGTAATCGTTTCTCGAAAATATCTTCACGAAAACATTGTTACTGAATTAAATTAGACACAATTTCTGATTCTTTTCGAACATTATCAGTTGGAAAATGAACCGGATCTTGTACTAAAAAAAGCGTTGTTTTCGTACTCGTTCGAGCCGATTAAAATTAAACGTCAATTAAACTATACACAAACGCAATTTTTAAAAATTTTCGAAATAATTTAATGTTTACGCTAAAAGTCAATTACGCATAGATAATTTTTCCAAAGAATTTCTTATCAAAATTGCGTAAGATCCATGTGTAAAAGAAAATGCGCTGATTACACTAAACGATGGAGTATTTAATAAATCTAAAGTTACTGTAGGTTTAATATTTTTAGGCATAGGTAAGGAAATAAAATCAAACGGTTATTGTATACATAGAGGATTTTATTTCTGAATCAACATCTAAAAATCACAGACATAGAAATCACGATATGGCATCATGATATGCACACAGGGCTGGGTGAAAGATGGGTTAATCAATAAGCGTAAACACCGATTATAACATCAAATAGAGGCCCATTACTCGTTAACGGTAATGGCCAAATTCTTGGTTTTGTAGTTGTCGAATTTGTCCATGGTGTTGATATCCATGAGGGCCATGATGGATATGCCCAAGCCGAGGCCGGCGAGGAACGTGATGAAAATCCCGGAGCAAATCGGAACGGTCGTGAATGGTACGCAATCGTTGACGAATTCGAATTTCCCGTTCGACGAGTCGATTTGCACTTGCAAATCGTACAGGATCAATTCCGCCCCGGTGGTGGAATCGTAGAACTTGGTCTCGCCGTTGCAATGGTAGGAGAACCGCGCCGGAGCGAAGATTTCCTCTTTGGGCACCAAATTGTAGTCGGATTTGTCTTCGGTGTCGCTGATCTTCACCGACATCAACGACCAGTAGCCCTTCTGCCAGACGAAGTTGAACCTCAGCGATATCTTCCCTCTACCGTTGGGGATGTTCACGTTCAGACGCGTGTCGTATATGATCATGTCGTCTTCGACGTTGCCCAATTGCAACTCCGACGAATCGTTCTTTTTGAACAGCAACGGCTTGGAGGAGTACAGCAAAGCGTATATTTTCTTGTTGTCTACCAGTTTCGATTTTTTGTATATAACCGGCTGGTTTGCTGAACTGGCGAGCTCGGAATCGTCGGATTTCGCGTCCTCCTCTTCCTTGATGTCTCGTTTAGAACGGTTATTTTCCAAAGGAATTGTTACAGCCGATATGAAATCATCGGTGTTGGAAATTGTGTTTTTTATGATCTCTAAATCATCCTCTTCGTTGCCGGTAAGTTCTGCAAAACAAGTTGGAAGTTCGCTTGAGAGGTGCTCGATTATAACCGGCGTTTTAACCGGTCTATTTACAACAAACTTATTTATGAAAGTAACAATTACAAGCCACATTTAAAGCAATTAAGTTATTCTTAAGCATACCTGTGAAATTGGCCGTTTCAATGACCGCATTCGGGCTGTATACTGAGTGAGAACCTCTTGCTAGAGGCAAAATGTTCTTGGAGAGAGGCGTGGGGCTTTTGAATACGTAAACAACAGGTTTACCTAGTTGTTCGACAACATTTAGGAATTCCTTGGTATTGAATTGCTCCAAAGGCGAAATGTTTATTTCGTGGTTGCTCCACAGGTAGAGAGCAGCGCTGGTCATGCAGATGTTGTAAATTAACATGAACTTTATTACGGAAATCATGGTGTTTCGTTTGTGCAATTTAGTTGTGGCGCACGAATTAAAAATCAATATATCCTCCCCGGAAAATCTGACGTTTCCGGGGGCGTGAAACATTTTCCCTGGAAACTGGCTGCATAGTCATCAAGAAACAGACTTCACTTGACGTATAATCCAACCAGTAGAGGCCATGTACACAAATTGCATGTTTCATGATATAATTGTCTGTCTCTTACTTGGTACAGTAATAGTTAATATGATTTTTTAGAAAAAGAAGGTTTATAAATGTCAAACGAAACGTCAACTTCAGCCGTTAAATAACCTCACTTTAATTTAATTTAAAACTATTGAAGATCCAAACTGATATTTAATTTATTATTAATCGAAAAAGCCCCGATGGATACTGAAGTTTCTAACTGTTGGTGTAAATTTTACGACAATAAATTAAAAGATTCGTATAAAAATGAAAGGAAAGAATTGCAGAGAGTTGTTTCGTTGTTCAAAGCGTTTCAAATGGAAGTGAAAAGTAAGTTTATATACAATTTAAATGATCGTATAACTGTTTTATAATTGCAGATGTGGAGCAAATACTATTAAATGATATATCGAGATTAAAGGAACAACTGACAGAAAAAGATGAGCTGGAAGTTAGTGTAAAAGCAATAAAGTAAGTTTGACTTCCAAGTAACGTTAAAATTTGTCTAACATTTTGTTTTAAGGGCTAATACCACGGATAGTTCATTTGAATTTAGTAACATTGTTACCCATAAGCAAGAAAATAACGATGATATAGAGCACAGTGACTTGGAAAGTCCAGATATTTTTATGAATTCTTTCTCCTCGAAAAGTTCAGTTTCTGACGAAAAAAAGAATTTACAAATGAGCCCTTCATTGTCTTCGAAGAAGAAATTCAAATTAAAGACATTAAGGCGAAGAAACATTTTCGAGGATAGGGCATTTCTAAATAAGGAAAATTCTGTTATTGCATGTACTCCAGAAGTACAAAAGCCAACAAAAGCACCGAAATCCAAAAAAACTAAAAAACAAAAACCCAATCTAGTATCCGATAAAGTCCAACAACAGTAAGTTAATTTAAATCATATTTTAAAACTTTACTAGCAATTATAAATGGAAGTAAAAGTAATCTAAGGCTACTATATTTTTCTTAGTGATGATACAACTCTAAATCAAGCTTTTTGTGATACTACATATATCAACGAAGAAGTCGTAGATACATCACAATCGCAATTGGGCATCACTAGACTTTTGAGCTACATGAACAAAAGTGACTCTAAAAAATCAAATAACAATACTCATAATAACGATTCAAGCACTTTTATGGAATGTGAAGAGCACCATCAAGAGAATGCACCAACGAAAAAGTAATTTTTTTAAACTGTAATAAATTTATTAATTAATTTGTATTTAATCGTAGGAAATTGAAACAGCAGACTTTACGGTTTGAGCCGATTGTGAAAGACAAAGCCAAGAAAAAATTGATGGGATTTTCTTGTGTTGATTGCGAAAATGTGAGTGCGAAATTAAATAAAAACAATTAATTTGAATATTTAATTTTCCAGCTTTATGGTGACCTCGACTTACCTGAACACAAGTTGCAAGAATTGATGATCCAATGTTCCAAACATAAATACGTTCCTCCTGAAGAGACTTATCCTGGTAAATTTAAGAATAATATTAATTTTGCAGTGATATATCCAATTGAACGGTTTTATTTTTTCAGAAATATGGAATTTAAGCATTCCCGAGGAAGGTAATTTAAAATAATTCAAATCTATTTACAAAAATAAAGCAATTTAATTATTTACGTTAACAAATTTACGTACTTTGTTTCCCCCGACCGCTCCGCCTATGCTTGTTCATTGATCCCTCTCGTATCAACCGCGGAACGTTTGTCCTTTTCGTCCTTAGTCCTTATCTCCCACAAAAATGGCGGTCACAACTCCTTGACGTTCGCTACGTCCTTAAACAGTTAAATATCGAAACAATATTCTCTAAAAAAATCTCTCAATTCCCCGGTTACGCAGTGAAATAGTTATGGAATTCGGATAATCGATTTCCACGGGAAAATGTGATTTCCACCAATAACCCTTTACATGCGAGGCGTGTTTACGCGTACGGGTAAGATGCCAAGTTGATTTCGAGTATTCGATTTTCGGCGTAACAGGTACGTAAACAACATGATATGTTTCAGTTATATAAATATTTCGCAAATTTATTTCCGTTTTGGCTGCACACGTAAAGATATAATACCGACGTGCATAATACTGTTTATAGCTCGAGAGAATGGCTCAAACGGACGATAGCATGGACGATGACGTATTTGAGGCTGTTGATGACGTCAATAAACGGCTGGACGTGTCTTCTAAAAACACCCATCCGTCACCGACAGGCTATAGAAATTACAAACCGCCCGATGAAATTCTGAAGTTGTGCCAGTACGATGTAATTGTTTCCGATGAACCCGTTGTTCATAAAGTAAGTTTGTTTATTTTTTATTACAGATTTGTTGGCGCTCTTTGAGCTGCTTGTTCGTATTTTATTTTAAAGTAGACTTCATTGAGCAGGTTTTAGAAGATATATTCATTTGATTGCTTTTCAAATGTACAGTGTGTCCCTGCATGGAGTTGAGGAGAGGAAAAAAATTGTTCTTTTGAATTTTACGTTTGTTTTCAAGTTTTATTTTATTTATTTAAGTTTTTAAGATTCCAGATTTTAAAGAGAAAATTATTTTTTCGATAGGAACTTCTTATAAAGAATGAGTTTCCTTTGTTAAATAAAACCAATTAATTTCCTCTCGTGGCCTCTATCCAGGAACACACCGTATTTTATCCCTTCATATTGATGAAACTCTTGTCCCTATAAAACAAAATATAAAAACTCTACGGCAGTCAACGTGTTAATTGAAATATTAAACACAATAACTCACCCTATCCCATACTGAAGAACAAGTAATACTTAATTTTTCATATTAAGCGTTTTTTTTAAATCAACCTATAATTACATTAAATACCTGAGCTACTTTTAAACTTAATTTCTTTTCCCTCATTTCATTTTTCACATTTCCAATTGCTTGTATTCGAACGCAATTAAAGTTCCTTTCAATCCTCGTTTCCGCCGTAATCTGTTTATTTTCGCTGTTATTGGTCGTGTGTGCACTGTGTATCAATATTCAATCAACCGACAAAGAAAATATCGCCTTCGACTTCAATTTACGTTTCCCTGACACAAACAGTAATTACACTCAGACCAGAGGCGGACCGAATCGCACATTTTCTAATTACTTTATCCAAACTTTTGAAATTATTTATAATAACAGTATATTTATTTGAGGAAAGGAACTCTTAAAGAAACTGTTTTTTAATTACAAAGAACAACTTAAAAGAAAAGTTACTATTAGATACAATTACTTGTCAAAAGAAGGAATTAGTAATTACATTTATAATTGCAAATAACAAGTCGTATAAAAAGGTGGAAACTGTTTATTACTTTTTAAAATTCTGTGCAGTTTTGAAGAGATTTTAGAGTGGTGATCGTATTTTGAGTTTTTGTGAGCTGTAGTTTCAGAGCGGGTTTGGGGATGGTTTTAGAGCGATTTTAATTCAGTTTTGAATAGATTTTGGGGTGGATTATACACTGGAAATTATACACTTATAATAAAATGTGCTTAAGTACACTTATAATTCCAAAAGACTAAAGTAATTGTAATAACTAATTACTTTTGTTAAGTACATTCCACAGCTCTGTTGTTTGAGGTACATTTTCATCAACTGTGTGTTTATAAGCAATTTAACTGTTAGCGAATGGAACCAGAGAAATGTCGCTTTTGTGTTTGCGAAGTGCTTCCTATTAGCTGGGCGTACGTGGGCTGCGTTTCGCCCACTAGCTAAGTAACAAAGCAGCGGCCCTTAACGCGGACATGTAGGTCAAACTATTAACTGTGGCAATGTGTACGTAGGAAAGCACACACGCTTCGCTCGATTCCGATACAAATTGCATCGATTGGCGCGATAAATGGCCGATTGGATGGAGTTTTCCTTATTTTAATTGTATATTGTATCGTCGAATCGCGTTGGGCTTTAAAGCGTTTCGTTTGATTTGAAATTTCGATGGAAGTTGAATGAATCTTTTGGTTTCAGACGATATTGTTAGGCGACAGCGGTGTGGGGAAAACGTCGTTATTGGTGAAATTCGACACGGGGAAATTTCATTCCGGCAGCTTTTCGGCTACTGTAGGCATCGGTTTCACGGTAAGCTATATGGAACTAATGAATTTAATTGGATTCGCTGCTGAATGTATCCTATTTCAAATACTTTTTTTAACGTTGGGTAATTACAATCTTTCGAAAAATATAACTGGAGAGTATTGAATTCATAATACCCACTGTTAATAATACATTTCCATATCACCTCTAAAAAAATAATAAATAAATAATATAAAATAATAAAGCGATATAGCATCATATTGTAATAAAACAACTGCACTTAATGATTCGCCATTCGACGGTGAAAATTTTAATTATAGAATATATTATCTAAATATACGCGTACGTGCCCTACAAATTGGATTATGAAATAATGTTTCCAATAAATACGATACATTATCTCATAGAATTCATACAGAGGACTTCCTCCATACGTTTAATCTGATTAAATACCAATTTATTTCGAAAGCGTATGAACAAAAAAATACCTTTTATATTTCCTAAAAAAATTCCAGCTATTTTACGAAGGACACACTGTATATTCCGTTAATTGTTTTATTCGATTTCAGCTATACGCGAATGCTAATTTCCCATTGTCATCGGGAAAATCTCGCAATTCGTTTGGCGAAAATAATATAAAACAATAATTGGGTTACCGGCCTACGCGGTATCGCTCTCATAAAAATAGTATATTAAATTCTTCCCGTCAGTGAAAATTCGCAGGGCAGAGCGGATAACAAATTTTCATTACCGGTAGATTGGATTCCGCTCCGAACGCGAAGGGGTTCGGAAATAATTTTTGTATAAAAATAATATTAAAAGTCCCTCTGCTATGCGAGGAATGCTGGTGTGATGCTTTGTTTAATAATAATATTATCTGCTGTACGTTCTGTTATGTCGGAATGCTGTGTAAATACAAAGAAGTATTGAAAATAGAAGTCCTTTGTGTGTACGTTCGTTTAATAATCTTCGATTTTTTAAAATCGGTATAATTGGGTTCTGGACGATAATGAGCAAAACACAAACTCCGGTTTTTATTTCTTTGGAAAACGAATTTTCCCTCAATTATTTCCCATATCGATCGCCCGCGAATTAAACCCAAATAGGCCTTATCTTATCGTCGAGACGGAGCAACAGCGAACAGAAGGCCATTGATGTCCGATTTGACGTTAATTTCCCTTTCGCAGGAATCGGAGAAATCACATCAATTCAATTTTATCAACAATTCGACATTTCCAAAGTTTCCAAAACGTAGACGACTGTTTTCTTATCAAAGAAGAGTTCGTTAGCCGTGGTATTACATAAACTTATTTAATATTCTCTAATGGAGTAAAATTAGTGACTACGTCCATGGTAATTTAGATTTATTTATAGCCCTTGGTCGAACTCGTAGCTCTTTTTTCACCTGTTAGAATACAAAGGTCGGTTCTAAATCCCCGGAGCTTACAGAGTGGCTCATCCTTTAATTTCACATTAAATCACTTTACATCATACAAGTAAAGACACTTCAGTTTTATAAGAAATTAAATGGAGTACTACATTGTACTCATGGCGTAGGTATTTGCGTAGCATCAAACTTTAACACGAGGGATGAGGGTGTCTGGTTGCTCCAGGAAATTTCACGAATTCCTCAAAAGTACCCGTATTTCGCTAGGGGAGTCACCTCGTAGACGAAGGGCCTGGGGCCGGTGCTCCAGGTGGCAACTCGGCATCCGAGTAGCCATAGAAACGTGGGTCGTTTCGTCATCGAGTCGGCCGCGGTTGCCACGGCCAACGTGATTCTGATTGACGGACGGCGCACGATCGCGTGCGGGGAAAATCAAAATAGGAGATTTTCATTTTGATCGGCCGTCGCGCTCGCAGTACGCTCGGCGCGTTTTTTCCGAGTGATTTCCGGTCGCGCGGCGAAAGTTTCCGGGCAAGAAGAGCTTCGGGTGAGATTGGCAAAAGGGAGACACGCGTCCGGAGGGTGCGGGGAAATTCGGTATTTGGGAAATTCGAGTGAGACTTTTATTTAATAAACGGGAAATTTTTTAATTAGTAAACGAGGGTACTAGAAAATTCAGAAAAATTCATTATCATATCGCTAAATTACACGAATATAAATCGAAATTCACTCACTCGCAATAAATTTAACGCTTAAAGTGCATATAAAACTAGCAGGTAATCCTCTGAATTTTTTTTAATTAAAACCGAGCCTGCCGTAAAACCAATTCTAACTTGCGTACATAAACCTATTATGCATAATAATATGTAAAATATAAATACTGATAAGCGACGGTGTATTCTAGCGTATAGTTTCTACTGATTACAATTTCCGCTTAAAGCGAATCGCCATTAAAACCGCACCGTTTCCAGCCAAATCTATCGCAAATTGTAAAAAATAACTTACTCCATTGATCGTAAATTGTGCCAATCGAGTGTTGAAAGAACTTTACCCGTGACGCGTGCGATAAGCGGAAAATAGTGTTTGAAAATGAACCGATAATAAATTGATAAAAAAAAATCCGAAATGACTACGGAAAGTACATACAGACAAATAGTGAGAGTTAGCTCGAGGAAGGGCCAAAACTCCGATAAAGTCGAAGAAAGGAGATCGAGCAATCACCACGTGGAAGTCGGAGAAGATGCCGTCGATCCTTTTACGATCAAGCGAAGGGAATCGTTGAAAAATAATATTTTTGATATTTACGGAAAGGTGCGTATTTATAGGCTATATTCACTGAACTTGCGCGGGTTTCGGATTAAAAGATTATTTATTGCTAATGATTGCAAATGGGCATTTTCTCCCATAATTCGGCTTAAATTGCACTAAATGCCTAAATGGGTTGATTAATTTGTTAATACCTTTTAAATTAGGGTATTATACGAAATGGAATATATTATTTCAACAATAAATACTATGTATGACTTCTGTTGAATTAATGGCTGTGTAGCAGTAATTAAATTTGTAGAATAATGGCGGATTACTTTCAATTTTATTCATAACTAATTTGATCAGTAATTTACCCAAAAAACCGGTAAAATTTGGAAGTACTGGCATATTGCAATCCACTTTAAATTCTTGATCTGCGTAAGTTCAGTGAATGGACCAAGGATAATTCATCGAATTTGAGATGAACATTATCAATGCGAATTAGGTAATGCTGCTGGGCGATTCCGGCGTGGGAAAAACCTGCATTTTGATGCGATTTCGCGAAGGCACCTTCTTGGCCGGGAACTTCATATCCACAGTGGGTGTCGATTTCAGAGTAAGAAACCCCTATAACTCGAAATTTGAAATAGGATACTCAACGCTAATATTATCAACTACTAAATTGAATTATTCCTCCTCGTCCTTTAGACCAAAGTCGTGACTGTAGACAACACGAAAGTCAAATTACAAATATGGGACACGGCGGGCCAGGAGAGATTCCGCAGCGTTACTCACGCTTATTATCGGGACGCTCACGGTAAGATTCGCCTTCGCGCTAATCATCAATTATTTATCGACTTATTTGCGTTTATTCCAGCGCTTTTGTTGCTCTACGACGTTACGAACAAGACCAGCTTCGACAATATAAGAGCGTGGCTCGGCGAAATCCGAGAGTACGCACAAGACGACGTCGTTATAATGCTATTAGGTGAGTCGATTTTTGATTTCGCCTCTTCTGCGGGCGACAAGGGTAATTAAAAACGAGAGAAAAAAAAAGGATGTGATTAAACGAGGGCCTCGAAGGAAGCTCGCAACATACAAGTCTTATTATCGACAGCGGAGCGCGGTCGTGATTCGATTTGGGGCCTCAGAAATCGAATTATAAATGTTGTCGGCGCTCCGCCATTTCAAATCAGCGTTCTGCGGCTGGAAATGTAAAGAGCTTACCGGCCAATCGAATTTTGCGTTACAGGTTGTCTGCAGGTAATGGAGTTTGAGTCACTTTCCACCGCAAAAAGGGCGCTTCCTCGCCTTTACTCTCTTTATTTTTCATGATTTTTGACTCGGTGTATTCTTAGGTAACAAAGCGGATTGCGGTTTGGATAGGGCGGTGAGACGAGAGGATGGCGAGCGATTGGCTAGGGAATACAACGTAGCTTTTATGGAAACATCGGCTAAAAGTGGACAGAACGTGGAGCTGGCCTTCATAGCGGTAGCCAGGTAGATATCGCTTCGAAAACGTTCACTTAATTATGAATTTCACTTATCCTTGGTACGATAAACTTAGGCGAGGTCGACAAAATTTTTGTTAAATAATTCTCCAGCTAATGAATTTTGCTAATGTTTTTTGGGCGATTTTAGGGAATTAAAATGTCGTTCGACGGGACAGAAGGACGCCAATACGTTCAACGTTAAAGACTACATAAGGGAACAAACCGAAAAACCGCAGTGTCCGCCTTGCAACACATGAAATTGTTTCACTCTCCACAAAGCAACTAATCAATGTGATTTATTGCTTGGAAGTTGTTTCGCTGCAAAGGCGATTGTACGATTTATATCGTATAGAAAAGGTGTATTTTGTTAATGTATTAGTTTTGATTATTTGGTGTGGTAAACGCTATACTTTAGAAATTACGTACCACTCGACACATCACGTGTATAAATGTAGGTGTACAAAGAGTTATTTTTAAAGACGTATCGACTTATTGATATTGATTTAGAAATTATAACGTACGGAATTTGTACAAACAAAGAGGAATATGACCTAATAAGATACAGAAATTTACAATAATCAATGTTAAAGTATTATAATATACGGCCTTATATCGACTCGCTGGATATTTATGTTGGTAATATTGGTTTTTAATGAACTGCGCATGATTCGCTTATGTCATGTGATTTGATAATGTCAAAAAGAGCGCATTGTTGCCAGATTATTAAAATTTATAAAAATGCTAGGCTTAAAGTTAGATAATAATGAAATTTTGAACAAAAGTAATTTCAAACTATTTGCTATTTATCACAGACATTCATTAACATATCAAACCATTACATTTTTTATGTAAATAGGTAGCTAAGGTACATTCATGGATGAACTAAAATAAACTAGAAACATAAATAATTTGTAATAATTGGTAAATTACCTAGCAGTTTTATGTTATTGATAATTATACATTCAATTTTCGTATTATTCCAACTCCCACTTCCACTTTATTCCAAATGTTTGTCTGTTTAAATCAAATTTAAATACATTGGCGACGCTGCGCCATTTTTGATATTTTGACGTTGTCAAAAGTCAAAACGCGATTTAAAAAAGCTTAAAAGTAAAAATTACTTCATTTTCAATCAATTGTACATTTGTACCTTAATTAAAATATGTAATAACTGTACCATAGAGAAAGAAAGATTACTTTTATTTTGTCTATAAACTGTACTGTAAATACGAACATCAAATTATGTTAACTTAGTGTTTATATCATATCTTCATGAAAGTGATCTCCTGCAATGCAAAATTATGTATGTGCCAGTTGAACTAAATGACGTGGAAATCCATTTTGTCGTGAATTTAGAAGGTATGATATGCATTATAAAATGGTACCTATAAATTCAAAATGTTTCTTTTATAATCAAGTAACAATCATTTGCGTTGTACACACTGTTTTTTGGAACTAATCTACTGTAAAAATTGAATAAGTTATGGTAAATTCATTCATCAATCATCAACAGGTTAATATACAGGTAGATGCCAAATTGTTTTGCAATGTAGATTGTTAATGCAACAAAGACAACTTCAATTAGTCTCCTATAAAGGTAAAAGAAAGAGCGATATTTTGAGATTGCAATTTTCTCACTCTAACCACTTTTATTTTTATAATCTTTCTTTGTTCAACTCATAGAATAGACCGTATTGTAAACAATTTTGCATTTATGTGTAAAATCGATTTTTTTATATTTTTAATTTCTATAAAGTGCGTACAATAAATAAACCATTTTTGACTGATAAGGCTATAAATGGCAAAATGAAGAATTTTGGTACTAATTGAAATAATTACGCAATTTAGTATGAATGTATTAATCAAAGACCAACATTACAGATCGTATTAATTGTAGATTAAAAGAAAGCTTTACGTATCTCAATTGTAGCGTACATATGCGTATAAAGCATATCTTTGAATGATATTTTAGGGTAAAAATTAGGGGTGGATTAATCTTAATTATGCCTAAAAAAGTATATCAAAAAATTTTTGACTTGTGTATAAATTTTATTAGAATCTCATTATTTAATGTTAAAAAAATATATAATTTGTTTAGATATTTATATTCTAAAGAGTGTCATATTTTCGTAATATCACTAGAAAAATGTTTCTGTTTAAAAAATTCTAATATATAATAAAAATGAAAAAGTATCACATCATGCAAACATTTTTTTATCAAGCACAAATCGAGCCCATATTCCGATCCTTTAGGAAACACTAGACGAACCCGGTTTGTTCGTTCCGGAACCTATCAGCTCGATTTCGCGCTTAATTTCTAGCTCATTCTGCATTTTTATTAACCTCTCCTTATCTTTAAGCTGCAACAACCTCTCGGACCTCTTCTTCAACTTTGCTGTCCTCTTGTATATGTCCTTCATGTCCTTTTTTACGTTAACGAGCTTGTTGTGGTACACATGCATTTTTTTAAACAACTCCTGTATCTCCCCCGAGTACTGCACCTCTGCTAATGCCAAATTTTCTTTATGTATCTCGGACGTCGTGGCATTTTGCTTGGAGGTGAGCTCTTTTAGTCGAGATTGTGTATTCACCAATGTTGGCATGTAGATGTTGATTAGACTATTGGATAAATCGTTTATTGATTTTGCGTATGGATTACTCGAATCATTATTAATATTTGTGCCATTATCCATTTTAATAAGTTCGTTTTATCACTTTACATCGTAACCTGATAAGCGTTATTAAATTAGTTTGTTTTGTTTTTTAGGTTATGTGGAGTGACAGTATTGACGTTTAATGTCATGAACTGTCAATGTCAACTAAATTCTTCTGTTTTGCTGAAAAGTTGATGTTGTCAGTGGCGGAGTCGAGTATGGTGAGCACAAAAATAATTTTAGTTTGTTTGTACATTAAACCTTCATTGCTTAAACAATTTATGACTAATATTTGTGGCATTACCCATTTTAACTTTGTTTTATCGCAATCACATCAAAATATGGTAATGATTTGAAAATAACTTTTGTTTTGTAGGTTATATGGAGTGAAGGTTGACGTTTAAAGTAGTGAACTGTCAACGTGAACTAAATTCTTCTTTTTTAATGAGTCCTTGATAGTTGATGCGAGTAGCGGAATAGAGAAATATGGTAAGTACAAAATCAATTTTCATTCATTTAATTGTTAATTAAACACTGATTGGTATAAAGAACTACGATTTATATAAGATAGGCGAATGATATTCAATATTAAATTTTAGAGTGGTTGATAAAAAAAACAGAGATTTAAACTGTAATATTTTATTAAGTCCTTTTCTTTTCACAATAACGTTGCAGGTGGTGTAGAACTAACAACAATCAAGTCAGTTGACTAAGACTTATCATTATTAATATTATTATATAACAACGTGAACAGCCTTACTAACTATAATAGGTACTCAGGCAACTACAACGTGTTGTTTCACAGCTTTATGAAACAATTATACCGGTAATAAGTGTATGAATACAAAAAGTTTATGTAATTACTACGTTCACAGATACTGAGTTTAATAATATTGCAGTTTTAAAGGCGATCAACATTTTTCTTTTCTTTACGTAAAGATGCTAACATTAACAAGTCTTATAGCACATAATCTTCGTTTTGCATTCGATTTTCGATTAATACATCTGCGTACTTATATGAAACAAACTTAAATTTTATTAAAATCAATATCCACAAACTTTTAAAACTAAATAATTTATAGAATCAACAACAATATCTACAATACAATATACTGCCAATATAATTCTGTTGTTTAAGAGTCAGTGTAAATGGAAAATTTGGCCAACAATTCGCGAACAATTTCAATTCCATTCATTTTTTTAGGTATTATTCCTTTTTTATATTTAGCGATTTAGTTACAAATTTAATAATCATATTTTAACGTAACATTCAAAATTTTATCAAACACTTACTCTTAATAACAATAAAAACATTGAAAATATTCTCAATTTAACGATTCATTTCGGAATTTTGCTTTATTTTTTATCACTAGCTTTAGTTATAAATACGATTCACTTAAGCAAAGTCAACTAATCGGAAATCGATTTAACTTTTTCCTTCGTTTACGTCCTTACAAAATATCTGAAAATTTTCCATTACCTATACTTTTATAACAAGTTTAACTCCTCAACAAACAAGGTTGCTAAAGCACGTGATTGAATTATTAAGTAATAAACTTATAAATTAATTTACTCGATCAACGATGAAAAACTAAAGCAGTTGATTGTAGAAAAAATAATACTTTTTAGTGTTTTTTTGTCTCCATATTTTAGTTATGAAAACTTCATCGAACTTTGAAGTTTTTAAAATAAAATTGGGTTTTTAGTATAGGTATTTTTAGTATGTACCTAGTTAAATCGTATTCCAATTTTTATTAAAAAAATCTTATAAGAACCTTAAATCGTTCATATTAGATATTTTTAACTTTTGGCCTTTAAATGTTTTATGTAGATAATAAGTATTGGATTGTTTCTTTTCTTTTCTAAGGTATATGTGTCGTTGTCTCTAATTTAGATTAAAATTTACGCAATCGTTACAAAAGTGGTACGATATTCGGCGTTTTTGATCTAAATTTCAATAATCCTCGCACCAAATTTAACAATGATTTATCATTAATCATTCATTAAGCCACTTCGATTTCAATTCGACGCTTTGCAGGAAATATTCATTACGCATCCTCTGTTAAATGGATTACCCACAAATCCCGTTAGAATAATAACGAGTTGTTAAATTCAGGGCGACTAAAAATTCGTATTACAAGTAAAACAAACGGAATTACGTTTATCACACACACCTGACTAAGTCGTACTACAATTGCTTATATTTTTTTTTCTTTAAAATTTTCAAAGGTGGATCTAAAAACAACAACAGACGAAGTTTTATAGGAACAACAGTTTGAGCGTATTTCCAGAAATTTATCCCATACAACTGAGCACGAGTTTTTTCTTATAATTTCATACTTAAGTTTTGAATTATTTTATTAAAAAATAATACACCAGTATATTTTTATAAAAGGAAGAAGCGTATGCTTTTTCAATCGTTCATTGGAAGCTTATTTTATTTGTAATAATTTCCTTATCAACTAATAGTTAACTGATTAATTAATTTAAATAGTTAAATTTTAGAGTTAGGAATAGTTGAACAATATGTAATGAATTATCAAAGAATAAACTCGCCCACTGTAGGTAATTTCTCCACGTATTCATCGAAAAACATTTCGTTTTGGAAACAAGCGCAAAACTTTTATGAAAACCTTGATAACCGGGTAACAATATTCTCTAAATTACATTTAAGCGTTACGTACTAAACATGTTTGCATTGTTTTGCATTGGTATAATGTGAAACGTATCACTAGAAAAAGTTACAGTTTAAGTTTCGTCCGATGACATTGAACTTCAAATATCTCTTAAATATATCTCTCAAATTAAAATTAATTTGAGAGATGATAATTGATTAGATATATTTAATTAAAATTAAATATATCTCTCAAATATAAGTTTCTCTTCATTTGAGCTCGCTTGCTCGTGGTTTTTTTTTGTGAATTTAAATTTTTCCGAAGTGCAACATCAAAGCGGACGACGTTTTGTAAAATTTCACGTTGATTTCACCCAAATTCCACATTGAACATTGCGTTTTGCCAAAAAGACACCGTCAAAAAATAATTGAGCAACGACACCTATAATATTTATAACATTTAAATACAGTCTAGGATGCTACACATTTTTCTAGCTTTAAGTTAAGACATAGATCCGCTACATGCTACTTAGAGAGAGAGAAAGAGATCATGATATAGAATTTAATTGACATAGAAGACAATAGAAAAGATAAACGATGGCCATCTTAGAAGAAGTTATGCTCTAAAAATTGCCAAGTCCCATTTTCGTCATTATGCCTCTCACTGTGCGCCTATACAGCGCACTTTTTTTTTGAAGTGGAAGAGATCATGTGTAAATGGATTGATTTACATAAAGTCGAAAGTGAGATTTTTATTAACGAAATAAAAAGTGCTGAAAGATTTCAAGCAGTGCATTTGAACATAAAAAACACCTAGTATTGGAAGGTACACACGCAAAGCATAATATTTAGATTAATGGTTTTTTAACGTATTTCGTTATTTATAGCGTTGGTCGATTAATGGATTGCTTTTGAAGATGGTCGATTCTTTTAATACATATAACTTAAAATCTAATACCTACTATAAAATTGATATAGAAGTTTAATGCAAATAAATTAGAAAACATATACTATAATTGATTAGAAACTTATATAAAATAATCTACAGATTAATTAAAAAAATAACTTTTAAAATTAAATAAATGTAAAATGTGTATATTTTGAAGGTAAATAGTTTAATGCTTTTATTAGGTCTTATTAGATGCTTTCATTTTTTATAAAGATAGAAGAAGATCGAAGTAGAGAGACACCCATAAAGAGACAGAGGCAACAACAATAAACACCGAACAAATAATATTACGGACATGCGACATCGAAAACAGATAGTTAGACACAAATTGCGTTGTTATACTTCGAAATTTAAAATTGTTCCATTTTAAAATTTCACCCTTATACGAGTTAAAAGTTTGAAAAGACACGTAATTAGGTGGTTATTTCGGGTGACAATTTTAGTAAGAACAATGCGATTATGATATTATTTATTTTACCGAGAAACTTAATTATCTACAAACTTATAACATTTATATTTGGGCGTATACACATACTTGAGCTAATACTAAGTATATTGTTTTTTTAAATTTATTTATTGTCCTTATTATTTTAGAAATTGTATTTTCTAAGTTACTCTTTCTTCTTGAAATTTACTATTAAATAATATTTCATCGAAAGTTTTTGCTAACCCCCTTATAATTATTTATCTTCGAAAACTTGTTATATTTTATAATTAATTATTCAATTATGTATGTACGCCCATTTGTTGATCGGAGAGTTACACTTATAAGCGCTATTTTATCGATTATTTGAAATGCCTCCTATCGAAGGAAACGAACAATTTACAAAGTGATTCGTTATTTGTTGCATTACTGATGTATTTGTATAATTCAACGGTTTGTTTCCTTGGATGAGGAAGAGATTGTACATCGAAGGCTGGACTAATCTACAAGGAATTTGGATGACCCATCACGGAGTGTGCTCTAAGAAGTACTCGAAAGAAGTGTTAAGAATTAGTATAACAGAAAGCCTCAAACATTCTTAATTTGTATTATTAAAAAAAATCTACATGCGTTCATAGAAAATATCCGAACTGAAAATTTTTTTCAACGGTAATTAGTATATGCACACGTTTCTTTTTTTACTTCATTTTTATGATAATAAACACTTTGACGTTACAAAAAAATAGGTTAAACTATTTATCTATCTACAAAACCTGTTAACAATTTTTTTAACACTTCTAACAAACGTATTATGATGCCCTGTAAACTTGGTTGTAGATTTGGCGAGTTGTAGTTTTGAACACCGGATTAGGCGTCATCATAATAAATTTGTCTTCTGTTAATTGTTTATCGCAGTCTCTTTTTTTGTTTTTTTGGGAGGGTGAGGGGGAAAGGAGGGGCATTATGCTGCGTGGCCTTAACTAATATTAATATAAATCGGGCTAGAATTTGCAACTGTCGCTAAGAACTATGCCAGTTTATCTTTTAAATTGCGTCGCTTTTTAAACGTAAAAAATTTGGTATGTTGTCAAATCCTGACCCTAATGTATATATAGATATTTCATTTGTTTAAAACGGGTTCAGAAAAAAATAATTGTAATGTTGTAATTAATGTCTGTATGCTTTTATACAGGCTGCGTGAAATAATAAATGGTAAATGCAGAGTTATTTCTGTATAACGATGACGTTTGGTGCAGTCGGCCCGCAGTATGTGCCTTGTGGTATCCCAAAATTCATTGCATAACACATTTACTTTCTATTTGAGACTTGAGTTCATTTACTTGTGTCTCTATCGTATTCTTCAATTCTGAAATTTAAAACAAGGAAAAGACATTGAGAAAACACGTTTAAATATCTAATATAAAAAACACCCCATACATTCGATACACCCATACGATGCTAAAAAATGCTACGACATTATTTCACCGAAACTACCATCATTAGCATTAATTATTATAAAGTGTAGTAACAGTAGAATAATTCGTATATAATAATAAAATTAGAAAAAAAGCAAGAAGCGTTGAATGCACTTACCTATATCAACTAAAAATAACGTAGAATTGTAATGATAAAATAAAATAAAACGGCAAAAAAAGTTTATTAATAATAAAAAAAAATACAAAATCAAAAATTATCTACAGCAAACGGAGAAACTAATTAGATCGTAACATTTAATTTTATTTTGCAAAACATAGATAACATTAGTTTCAACGTAACACATACACCGCATACATAGCATAGGAATAAGAAGTACAAAACAAAAATGTAAGTCAACATCGACTGAAGTATAATAGAGAAAAAACATGTAGAAAAGGAAAAGGCGTGGATTTTTGGCAATACGTATCGAAAAATATATTGTCTTTAAAATGCCATCAAAAGGCATGATGCGTAATATTTAATTATTGTGGTTCGTACTTATTCAACGAAAGCCTATATTTAGAATTCAATAGTTCATTTAGCTCAAATTTCACCACTCATTCACAACACTTAAGTATTATTTAAGCAATGTTTAAGTTATACTTAAAATGTTAATTATTGTGGGTGGTGCAATTGACCATTGAAGAATAATTGAATTATTTTGTCGCCGAATAAGCACCTTTATATCATTGGCACAATAAAATCATTTCGACAATTTATTTTAGAGCGCCCATAAATTGCAAATATTTCTCATGTTTAAAAAACCAATCAAGTATCACCAATCCAAATGGATAATATTGATAATATTAATAATAGTAAGTTTAACCCGCGTGTAATTGACATACGGTCTTAAAAACATCTATAAACACGAAAATATTATTACGTAGAGATAAAGACTGGGTAAATATATTGTGGAAAATAAATGGTACAACCTCATAGATTTAAATATTTTTTTAACTTTTTTTTTTTACTTACCCTGTCTTTTATATAACTACCGTCTACAAGGGAAAAACGAAAAATACGATACACCATCAACATTGATTAATTGCAGTAAATATAATTAGTTATATAGTGTTTTTCGTTTGTAAAGTTATACTTAATTAATTATGTGTCAAGTTTCATTGTGCTATAGTTGAAACAGTCAGTGCTTTTCAAGAAATATGGTAATTTTTAAAAATTGTCAGTACTGTTAAATAGAGAAAACGACTAGAAGTTATTAAAGATAAATTACCATGTTTCAACGTTTTTTTACTAATATGGGTTGTAACAGAAAAGACAGATTTTAATTCCTGTTTTACCCTGTAGTTTTTTAGCCTAATTAGAAGTAGAAGAATATAAAATTGGAAAATTGTTTAAAAATTTTCTACTATTTGATATAAAAAAATCTATAAAATAATTAAGTGCAAAATCTACAATACCATTTTTTCAGTGTTCTCTAGAATTAGTTGAGAAAAATAGATAGACAAAATATTTAGATAATTAAATTTATATGAAAAACACACATTTTTTAGAAAAAATCGTCGACTACATCAAAAAATCTACTGAACACTTTTTTTTGTATTTTTTTTGTGTAATAATTATTATCGGGTAACCAGTCGCATATCATCGAAAGTAAGCAGTGCCATCTATCCGTTCTAAGTGGTCAAACTATAAAATGCTACAGCTTTTCCGGTACTTCCGGAATCTACCCAAACACTCACTCGTAAATTCATCTTCGTCCGCCTCTTCTGCTTCTCTCGCCAGCTCTTCGGGCGTCTTCTTTTTCCGCATCAAAGGATTGGGCTCCTCTTGCACCGGATCCACAACCTCTTCTCTTTTCTTTATATTGTACTGAAACATTAGCGGCGTTAGGGCAGGAACAAAATGAAGAAAAAATTCGGGTAGGTATTACACGATTCGCATGAAACAAATAAAAAAATTAAAGTTCGTTTCGTTTTCATTTTGTATCCGCAAGTTTTCCCATAAATTCCCGTCCCGATGTTTTTCTATTAAAACTTTGGAAATTTGTTTCGTTTTATTTTCGCGTACTTTTCGAGTTTTTGAATATCTTATTTGTGTTTTACAACGTTCCGTATATTTTACGCGATTTCTCTTTATAAAAACGCTCAAGCTATTCACAAAACGCGGCTAAAATACGAAGTTGCCAGCTATAATAATATAGTAGGCATTAAGTAAAAGCTCTGAAATATGTTGTAATTGGCTTACGAGAAATCGTTCTTCGAACAAACAGCGTAGTTACCCCTCAAAGGGAGTCAACCTGACTCCGTTAGGGAGTCGCTATAAAGTAACGGACTCCCTACTAGAGTCAATTTGACCCCGATTAAGATTCCTTCTTCTTTCTTCGCAGAACCGTCGGTATTGCGATAACAAAAAAAAATCGAAAATATATCTTCTCTATCGAACGTTCGATGCTCATTAGCATAAAGGACATGCGTGCAGAGTTCGCGTGTCGATAAAAATCCCGAAATCGCCATTTTTAACTACCTAAGAGCACGATTGATTTCGAGTATGTACAATATCTAGTATTCTAACTGCTTGTAATAAGCAAGGTCGTAAGAAAAACTTTTGTAGAGAATTTGTAAAATGTTACTACTGTTAAATTGGAGACAATAATTAAAGAAAAAAAAAACAGTATAATATGAGAAACGGAACTAATTTCAAGTCGCATGCGACCGAATAATAAGAGCCTACACTCCGGATCTCGTATATTCGTCGAGCGAAGCTTGTTTTCTTCGTTTCATCCTTTAATAAGCTCCGCGTGTCAAGAACAACTGAAACAGAAATTAGAGACTCCGACTATGCTCTACATACGTTATATTCCTTTGTATTGTACGGTACACACTCCATTCCAGCTCAGACGTTACCCTAATTTTGTTTTGATTGTGTTTGTTTCGGCGTAATTAGTTAAATGGGATTAGATGATGTCTTAATTATTTCTACCAACAATTTATAATATTACAAAAACCATTCTAATAGATACTATTCCATTTGGTAGCGCGATGGAAAGTTTCAATTTGACAAATTTTGTATAAAATGGGCTATTAGGAAATATATCATAATTAATTTCATGCGCAACAACATAGGCGGACTTTGATGAATATTACTAATTTATTCACGAGGGGTAGAACGTTGTTTTGGAACTCTGGTGGATCGGGAAAGCATGATTAAAATCGCCCTGAAGGCGCCCGAGGTCTGCCGAACAGAGGCGTAGCAAATCCAACCGAGAAATTATTGTAACTTATGATTGCGGAAGCCATTAGGAAAGAAACCGGCGGATAATCGAGTGCTTGAACAATCAGCGAAAGTCGAGCGAATGATGAATAAGTTTTCCCGCGGAAAGTACACTTTAATTTGCTCATTGGGAGACAATTTATACGCTCACCTTATCCCTGATTTCTTGCCTCATCTTTTCTCGCTCCTCCTCCATCTTTCTGTGTTTTTCCTTTCTTCTTTCCTCGGCCTCGCGGATGGCCTCCAATCGCTCCCTCTCGGCCTCTTCTTCCTTCTCTTTGTCGTCGCCATCGTCGCCGTCTCCTCCTACCGCGCCTGAAAATAAGTACCGAAAACAATCATAACGAGTCCCGTTTTCACAAAGCGAGGGAAATCGCAAAAAAGCAATAGAAGAGTTAAAAAATAGTAATTAAAATTGAAGCGCGATCGTCAGACAGTGTTTTAATAAACCCCGAAAAGGTCAATAATGAACTGCGAATTTTCTTTTATTTTTTTTTGAGGAATTTCGTCGGAAATTCCGGTTATCAATAAAGCGCACTACGGAAAATTCAAATGACTTTTCTCTCGTTGAAAGCTCGGCTTAGAGGGCCGTCAATACCACGGCGAATTCGTGTAGATAGGAAGTGACAGGAAAATTCATGGAATTTCGTAGAAGTTGAATTAAATTTTCTGTTTTATTAAACCCGTTCCTTCCTTTTACGTCCAGAAAGATGTTTTCTATTGGCCGAGCTGAATTGTCCCCGGCCATTTGCAAACGCAGATAGATATTAAGTTGAAAAGAAAATAAATAGCACCAAAATAATACAACAGGGATGTACCTATATTTAGATACCTGCAAATAGAGAATATAATGTTGGCAAATGCAGTATAAATTCTGGATATTGTTTCTATCTACACGCGAAGGATTGATTGTCGATCAAATGTAAATAAATCAACTGGAAATCCGACTCGAGTAATATCGATTGTATTTGTGCAAATGTTACCGGTAAACTCTGAATGAATTATTAGACTGACGATATGACTATTGCGAAGCCCGTTTCTCTTAAACGAATTAGGTTAATTCGCCTATTATTCCCATATTCGGTGTATACAGCTCGCTATTTACCAAATCCAGTTTAGAAGCATAGCTTAGATTTTACATACTCTTGTGAAATTTATCATAATTTAAAAATTTTAATCAAATTGCGCTTACGTATTCGTTGGCTCTCCCAGAAAATATTCGTACAAATTCATCCTATTTCGAAATAGGCACTATTTTTCTATCTGTTTTCTGTTTTCGTTATTCTATGAGTCGAAAACAACGCAATAATGTAGCAAACATGTTGATCCCGAATCTAATTTATCAGTATCTAAACAAAACAACAACTCAATATCACGCTGGTGGAGCCCCAAGTTTGAATCTTGTTCGTGAGTTTTTTCCTCGAGGAAAATAATATAAAAAAACTATTTGCTTTCGCAAAATGTATATTTACAAGGCTTCTGAATTTTAGAAATATGAAGAAGATAAAGTTACATTTTGGTTGGAAAACTTTGTTGAAAAGCACCAAAGTTCATTCCTAATTGCATAATTCCAAATAAACATTCCTAACGATATCTTAAAAACATCTAATGCTGATAATTAAACCATTTTGTATTCCGCCGAGCATTCGATATTTCAATTTTGCTCGTAATTTAAAAAAGCACGCAAACGGACTAAAATTAGCCAGGAAACTACCATAAATCATAGATACTATCTATGCGATAGTGGGCAACTGGAAAAAGTTTTTGCCTGAAAATTATGAAAAAAATTCCCATTTTCCAGAAGAGATTAAAAAGTCGGGATTTTATCCGGGCAAAATTAATCTTCCATTGCTTCGATACAGAATTAACAGATATAAAAAATATATTTTTGATATTCATACTCATACATTCAGTTTTTTGATGGTGATAACATTTTTCAAAATGTATAAATATCAAGTTGTAAAGAGTTAGTAGATTTAAAAATAATCCAACTCATTTTATGCTTTGCCAACTAAATATTTTGATAGTAAAATTATTTAAAAAATATCGAATTTGATAAATTAAGTATTTTATTTTGAGTGTTTTAAATTGAAACTACGGCACTGTGTGCATCTACTTTCTCTTGACTGGATTGCCAGATAGCTGGTCACCATGTGGTGCTGGCCGGCATAACAAAATCCACTTGAATATCTAATGCCAGGACAAAGTGAAACGGGAATCCGTAATGAAGTGGCCGCGTAACCGACGGTACAAGGGCCAGTGCTTTCTGCCAAAAAAACCCTCATGCATTTTAAAGGGACGAACGGACCGATGGAAAAGTTTTTTCCCTTAGATTAGTAAAAAAACAGCATCGAACCGTTATTTACTGTCGATTCTATTTCGCGTCGCTTCAGTCAAATCGAAATAAAACTTTAAATAAATTGAACCTACTCGGAATTTGTTAGATAAAAAATTTATTAGTCCTTATACGTGCTCATCCTTGTCGTTTTCAGTCTCTTCTTCGGCGTGTAATCACACGTTTGAGATGCCGCGAAAAGGGGGAAATCCAAGAAGCTCCGCGAACCATGAAATAGAGTTCATTCGACCTCCGTTTCGTCGAAATAATTCCGAAACAACGATCGTGTTAGTAGTTCCGAGGATTTTAAATTTCTACCTTTCAGGTTCTAATCCTTTCAGCGGCGAAAAGGGTCGCCCAAAATTTTCTACGCCGGCGAATTTCGTCGGGGCTAACCGGATTTCGGATGGATTTTTTTTCTCTGATTACTTTGGCGGAATTAAAATCAGGTTGTTTGGATTGCTCGAAAAATCATAAATTAAGCATACCAATATTTTGAACGGCGAGTGCATGAAAGGAAACTTTATTTTCGAAATATCCGACAAAAACTCGTATCGATATTTTCACAATCCGCCGGAAGTTTTTACAAAAACCAGTCGCAAAAAAACCCAGTAGCCTTGTTACATAAAACAACACGAAATTTTCATTTAAAAAACTGCCGAACAAAGCATGTTAAATTCCACTTACAACATAGCGAAAAAAAAAACCGTTACCAGCGCCGATATACACAAGCGTTTTGTCGGTCCATTCGAATGTGTGTTATGCCGGTCGATTTAATTCGGGAAGTAACAGCTTAAACAACAATTTCAAAAATTTCAACTCCGAGTTTGTTTTCGTTCCGACTAGTCCCCAGCGGAGCATTCATTCGGCATCAGGAAAAACTCGCTTGTCAGTACAAACTAATTTGTCATTGTCGCTTTTAAATCCCATTTCGATTTCTACTACCAACAGTGCAAATATGAAAAATCTACACTCTAAACAAACCATAGTACCTAAGGAGATTTTTAGTAGTGTATCCCTTACGCGAGCGTGTTTTTTCATATGTAACGAACTTTATATATTCCATCAAATTGGGAACGTACAGCGTTCTCCGCTCGGAAAACCGCAATCCTTAATGTAATTCGTCCCCAATTCGGGAAACAGACCGTGTTAGAAAACCCAATAGCCGGCTTACATTCGCGCCTACCCTTCGACCAATCAAAACGTACGAAGTGTTAATTGATTGTGCGGCTTTCAATTAAATCTGAGTGGCTATTATGCATGTCGAGGAGCCCTTTGTAATTTTCCGTTTTATACGACTCGTCGGATAGTTAATGGAAGATATATCGGAAGTTAAGATTGAGTTAATAAATCGACGGAATAGGTTGTGGATTTACGCTCGATCGACAGCTCTTCCTCGATAACGCGAGCACATTTTATGCCGTATTGTTGTAAAGGATTAAATGAACAGTTTAGTTCGTATTAATATCGTAGAAATAATATGCATATACCGGTAAATGCATGGTGAATAATTGAGCTTTGGATTATTGATTCCTAGATAATTTGATCCCTGGATTAGTGAATAATTTAGATAATTGAACCACTTCTCCTGAATAAACCACACACTAATTTTCTATTCCTGGAAATCTACTGCATATTTTTTTTAATATCGCAATAAATGAAACATTTATCAGAATCTGACGATTTGGGAAAAGCTAAAGTCCTCGAACATTGCTGTGCAATCTAATAGGGACGTCTGCGAAAAAAGGGACCGGAGACGATAGTAAAATGAACCTCAACTTTAACCATGCACCCTGGGGAGTACAAGCAACTCCGGCTTGACTCTCTCTCGGCTCTCATCTGCATTGCAAATGGCGCATGGTTTTAACGCAAACACGTTAAGTCGGGCGCATTTAACGTTTACCATCATCATCGGGGTTTTTATCGCGCGTTATTATTGTTCGACTTTCGAGAATTATAGTTTCGAGATCGCGAACTTTCCTGTAAAACTCGGAGGCCGGAGAAAACTCCCAAGTTTCCGCGTCGTAAAGAGCGAATTTTAACATAAGATTAAAATCGCAACTGGAAGGGAAGCATTAAAAATTTAAAAGTTGCCGTAGACTTACGTAAAATAGCGTAACGTTATTTTGAGGTATGTATACGTCAATTAATGTCATTATTTTTATTTTTTAATTTAGGCTATTTATACATTGCGGAATTGAAGTTTGTAAAAATTAACGTAATGTAATTTTATTCAAATGGGTGTGTTTGTTCAAATGCGGATGTCTACATCCATAAAATTATTTCAATTCGGCATTCATAAATTTGCATTATTTTACTATAATATGCGGTAGAAAATTGACCGTTGTCATTTTCATCGTTGAAATATTAATTCGCGGCGGAATTTAATAAATAGCCCTTATTTATGCCTATATGATCGCGAAATTAGGTTAACGTTTATTTGTCCGATGAAATATTTAGGGGCTTCAATTTTAGATTTTTCCACTGAAATTCTAAATGCGTCAAAGCTTTTAGTTTCCATTAAATAACTTTAAGTTAAATTGACGTACGTCAATTGTTATCATTAATATTTAAATTAGCGTTAGAACTGAAATTAACGTACGCCAAAGTAACGTTTTTTGCAATTATTCTTTTTCGGCAACATTTTTTTTATTTCCTCTTGAATGATTACTGGCCTATTGCAGATAAAACGAAAACAAATATATGGGGCACAGTGAGTTATGACAGCGAAGATAAATTCTCCACAATTTAAATTGAAATCACGCCAAATTCCAGTTCAAAAACCGCAAAATGACGGGAAATTTATCAACGATTTGATGCGGGAATAAATATATTTCTATTGACATCATCAGTAATGTATAAAAAGAATTGACATCAAAAAATTAAAAAAGCGTTAATGAAACCACCTTTCAATATCAATTTAAAGAAGTATTTGCTATAATACTGGTTTATAAATTTACATAATTGCTCTTCTTATTTGTGTCGTTAGTAAATAACGTAGCTTAATTAATTTTAACATTATATACTTTCTCATTCATCCGTTAACGGTTCGAAGTTGGGAGGAAAATTGAAATTTAACAAAAAACTTTTAAGACGCCAATTAGTTCTTTCCTAGTACACTTTCTTGTAACGAATTGTATTCGAAACTTTACATGAGGAGATTGCGATCGTTAAACATCTTAAAACCCCACCGAGAAAGTTTACTAATAACTTTGTTAAAGTTTACTCGCGAACGTTAATAAAAATATAAATAGCAGGGCGATTGATTAATATTAAATTTAAGTAGCACTTTTCCAAACAACTTTTTGACGACCGACAATCGTTTTGAAGATATTAAAGTCGCAATTTATTAATACGATTTATCGAATGGCCGTCTTTGACTCCTTATCCGAAACTTTTTTAATAAATAAAATTCGAAAGCGCGTTGTCGAAATGGAGGTAAATCGACGTTCCATCAATCAGCGCAAAATAAATTCACTCCCATTTAATTCGAAAAGTTATAAGAAAACCATTATGGGATGTCTGTTTTATTCATTGGACGAGCCTCCTCGTGTTATTAATGATGAAAAAATTCCGATTGCGAGAGAGAAATAACGAAGGATTCCAGTCGAATAACAATTATTTGCGGGAGAAAAGCAGAAGTACCGATTATACGAAGAGGCTTTTCAATTTAAACGGAAAGTACAGTCGGTAAAAATTTGCGGAATAGTAGAATTATTGGAGCTCAAGATTCACCAAAAATGATCGATAAACCAATTAAACTAAGAGGCTGGAATTAATTCACTGAAAAGAATTTGTTCTCAAGTTGGTATTAAAAGAAGTTGAAGGAAAATGTGTCCCGTAAAAAAGTGCTCTCGAATTAAAAAGATAGTTAACAAATAGAAGAACAAATCGTAATAAAGTTGGTAGATTTTGAAGAGTGGAAATAAAAACGAATTTTTCATCAACAGAAAAGTTCCAACTTCATTATGCAATAAAGTTTTAATGCAACACATAATAATAGACGAGAGTTTAGTTTAAAAATTATTTCGAAAAATTTACTTACTTTCCACGAAATTATCGCTTTAAAATGAACAATTCGTCGGTAGATCTTACCTGAAAAGAACGACAAAATCAATTAACTCGAGTGCGGCGCAATGCGAATTTCGGTTAATTAAAACGTATTTTTTAATTAGTATATAATTTCTCGCGTCCATTATGTCCGCTAGCTCAATGAGAAACCGACAAAAAGGGTCGAATAGAATATATGAATACATTTGGGCATGACAAACAGCCTGCTGCTTTATCTACGAACTGCATAATTTCCAACGAAACACCCGTGATTAATTAGTATGGCGTTTTAATTTAGAACCAGGCTAAATTGGTTCACTTGTTGAACAAAGAATACTAAGAGAATAATGATGTTATAAAAATTAACTTAAGTTAAACTGAGTGATTTTATCTTGTTATTGAGGTATACATTGTAAATACTGTGTATAGAAGAGTCGATATAAATCCTCAATTTTTGTGCAAAAACCGCGATAAATCCGCACGAAAATTTTCCCCCTATACAGAGGCGTTTATAATAAATCTCGCGGCGATTTCGCGGTGACGAAAACTCGAATATTTCGTAGGGCGATCGACTTATTTACCAAAGCCTTTCCAGGCAATATTGCCTGACGAAAAAAAGGTGGCAAATTGCTTTTCTGCTTTCGAGCGCGACGACGAACTGATGTGGAAACGCATCTTTTTATCGTCGCGGAAAATGTTTAAACTCATGTTTCCAATCTCATCGGATAGCGTATTTTCCCGCAACCCATTCCCTACGCCTAAATCGCACTAAACTGCGTTAATAAAACCTTTTATGGCAGTTAAAGCTTTAGCGTCTATTCTATTATTAAAAAAAAATATTAATTATTAACTCACCCAAATATTATTTATAGAGAATTTTCCACAAACACATCGGCAAGCATAGTATATAAAACACTTGTAACTCACATTATACGAGAAAATGAAACCAAATGAATAACATAAAAAAATAATTAAAACAGCAAAAATAGTTGTTGGTGTTCATACATATTAATTCATAAATTATTTGTTACGGCTCTGCTTTAGCGACATTCCAGACAACTGGTATTCTGATGCCATATTTCACAGGCGATTAAGATGTTTTAAGGGATGTTTAGCCGCCCTAATGTCAAATATACGTCCGGTTCGATTTTTATCAAATGTCTCTGACCGGCCGTTACGGCCAATAGCTGTCAGAGCAAATTGCCGTTTTCAAAAATAACATCGGGAATTTGTACTTGTAAACTTTTTCATCTCGCGTTAGGTCAGGAAGCTGCTAGTTTTCGATGTATGTATTTTCTTGGATACGTGACTTTCCATATTCATAATTGCCCACTTTTATTACAGCTACAAGGCATATTTCATCTCGGTATTTATGCGTATAATATTTATGGGAATCTCCTCTTATATTACCGCGAGTGTAATAAATAATGGAGGGTTTAAACCGCCTTCTCGTCTGACACCGTCTGCACTGTGGTGGATTTTTCGGTTACAGCTTATTACCCAGACATTCTACCCGGGGTAAATTAACTCGCGCAAATTGGGGGTGAGTCAATCATCTGCTGTAATCGAAGCGTCTGAATTGCTATTGGTCATCGACGCCGCGACGCCCGCGAGTCCACAAAAAAACCGGCCAGATTGTAGAACAAAAACAATGTAGAACAAAAAGTTTTCCATGCGCTAGGAGCACGTGAATATGTACAGTACAGGCCAAAACCTCGGGGAAATCAAGACGTAACAATAACTTTGTACAAATACTATAGAAATGTAAGGGACTCGGTTACTTGATATTCATGACACAATTTGGATTCGTTTCTCACTTTTTTTTGCTCGCCTAAACTAAACTTTTTTTCTCTCACTTGCCGATTATGCATATGTACTCGCGAAAATCTGGAGGGAATTAAACGTCGATAATCGAATCTCCGGCGTAGCAAAGGCAAAAATTAATTGCGAAATCGGCTTAATTACTTCGAGTCAACGCAACTGTGGCTAATTGATGTCTAACATCAGAAACGCATAACGTTCATCAGAGTATAGTGGGGCTTGCGGTTGCTACATTACCATATTATACGTACTAACATACGTTTCTGTTAGTATCATTCGGTTGAATTTATACGCTATGAAACTCGACTCCGGGTAGATTAACCTGTATTTCATTTATCATGTCATGTAATATCTAACTAATTTCGTTATATTAATAATCTTAGCCTGATTAAACTTCGTATGTATGCGTACGTTTTACTTAAGAGAATTAGATTTTACGAGAATAGGGAGAGTAAGTAATGCGGACTGCGAATATCGATTAGGTTTTATTTGAACTTTAAATTTAAATGCCCGCTATTTTATATAGGCTACTTAGAAAATGCTAACATTTTATGCCGTAGAAAAACCGCTTTGCTCGCACAATAACTTTATACCTATAAGTGAACTCGAAACGTTTAAATGCTCGAAAGAGAAAAATTATTGCACGGGTAATTTTTAACTCGTAGGTACCTACATTTATTTTCCTTTATGTTATACCGATTAGCCGGGTTTTTGTATCTTTTTGTGCTCTGTACGCTCGAAACGCCGTGTTCTACATTAAAATTTCCACTTTGAGTAAATTTTCCTAGCGAAATTACGATATATGCATAATACTAAATTCCCTCCAGTGAATATTTAGCGAGATATTTTAACCAGCATTTAAACTCTTTTATTTTATTCAGCATTTCTGCAAATTATCCTGTATGTAAATATTCATAAACGTGTTTTAATAGAATAGAAAAAAAACCGAATTAATTACAATTATGAAAATATTTAGTTGAGAGAATATTTTTAAAGTACAATTTTGTAAGTACGTTTTTGCCGTTACTTTAGCAAATTAAATCCGTTCCACATGTTCGTTAGCGATAATTTGCGTAATGGAAAACCGAAAATTTTCGCGAAAATCCTTTTCGCCCGAAGCTGTGAGAACATTATCGAACTTTTGGCCTCGGTAAATTAATTACCAACGTTATGAGTTTCGGGCAATAACGGTTTGTTGTACGCAAAACGTTATTTTATTGTTTAATGCACGGCTTTGACAACGTTTGCTTTCAATTAGGAGGGTCGCAGATTTGTCGGAAAAATCGGACCTTCGCAAAAATAGATTTATTAAATTCCAAAATGCAAAATGGCGAAATTGTAATTAGCCAAATGGAAAGCTCGTTATACCATCATGACGAATCAACGTTTCCATAAATGAAAGGAAAACTTGGTACAACAAATTTTTTCCTAAAAAAATGTACAAACAACGGGATTTGCTTTTCATTACCATTAATTGAACTTTACATGTATGTATAAACACCAAACAATTTTTGCAAACACAAACACAGTCTGTATTAGACTGTTTTTCCACACAACATGCACATTTTCCAACATCAATTAAAAAAAAAACAAAAATAAACAAAACTAAAAAAGAAAATATAGAAAGTGAGTAAAGGAGAGTTTACGACAAAAAAAATACACAAAGCATAGAAACACACTTCGAAAAAAAAAACGAAACCAAAAAAAAAAATCTCTCCTACCAATTTTTTTTGTAACTCAATTTCTTGGAGACCGCAGGCAAGTCCAACGCTTACCTAGAATGTTCATATCTGTAAACTCGACCGCAGGACACTAGATGTCGGACTGGTTCTCGTAGCGCTTACGCTTTCCGCACTACGTCATCTCCCCCACTCCGGCCGGTCCGCTTTTCTTTTATGGATTCGCGGCGGGAGGGGAGGCTTTGGCGTGAGTCGGGTTTTCCGCGCGACGTTGCCGGATAGACGAGATTATCCGGCGATTATATCGACGAGAGATGTCGAAAGTATGTTGTGAATTTTAATAAACCGAGGGCTGCATGTCGGGGGTTTTTAATTAGAATTTTTAATAATTTTCCTCGCTTTTCCGGGAGAATCGAATTTACCCGGTTTTTCGCGCTAATGGTTGTTGATTGTAGTTTTAATGCGTTTTAATCTAACAAATGAAAAAAAAAATATGGTACAAAAATCAGTGGAATTTTGTGAAATATCCGTGAATTTGGGAGGTTTGACAACGTGGCAACTAGCGGCATGTGCTCTTTGGGATACGAATTGAAGTTGTTGGGGTTACCGGAGTTTCTTGGTAAAGTGGCATATTATTTTCTGTTTCGAGTCTTGCACCGCATTGGACAGGAATAGAGCGTATACGAGAAACTACGATAGAAGCATATTAGAACAAGGCTTTTTCATTCAATTTTCCGTCGAAAACAGAAAGAAGAAAAAAAAAGGAAAAATTCCTTCGAATTAAATAACGAATTTCCGACTGTGCGTCCTAAAAGTTTTGTTAGTTTTATCAAAACGTCTTACGATATTAGAACTTCTCAGGTTTTTATTGCGACTTTTACGATCGCCTAAAAATCGGAAATAACAATAAAAGAAAAATCCGCAACGCTCGTTATAAAAAATCCTCGGAGGTGAGAAAAACCCGACCGTCTATGAATATAACGGCACTATTAAAAGCTTTAATTTCCTTCGCATGAAAAACCGCCTTTGTACCATCACAAAAAAAAGTCTTAAAGGGACGCTTTCTTGACGTGAAAAACCTTACCATCAGCAAACGAACGAAGGAAAATATTTTATTAGGCCATCTGTTTTGTCGGTTTTTAGTCAAATAACGGAAATTAAGAAAACCACTAACCCAACTTTTATTTTTAATCGTTAGGAATAATAAATATTAGAACCTCTACAAATTAATGGAGACGTTATTTACACAATATTTTATTAATATTTTCATCTATTTTTATGCCTTCTAGAACGTTGGATTCATAGAAGAGGCAAACTCAAATGTAACAATCATTGATGAAAAAAATAAAAGGAAAATGGGTGCCTCTATTAAGGTCCTTCTGCCAGTTCCACCCATCGGTCGGGTCCTGGAAAACGTGGTTTCCTCGCAATTTTGTTAATTTACCGTATCCGAATCGTGATTTCTGGCGAACATCTTCCTTCTTGTTCACTAGTAATTACGCGTGTTTACCTATACACTTCAGTCCAGCCGATTTGTACTGGTCGAACGGTCGTTCCCTAACGATAGATTGTTTGAGTTTGGCGTACTCGAGGCGAATCTGCGACAAATAAAAGCTAATTTCGTTTGAGGACCGTTCACCGCCGGGTACTAATCATTACGGCGCCGGGAAAGAATAACAACAGAGATTGTCCAGAAAAAAAATAACCCGAATTACTATACTAATCGATTCCCTTTGGAGAAAATACCGGACAAACACATCAATCTTATACATAAATACGTCGCAGTCGAATCGATTCCTCTTCTTCGACTTCTTCTTCTTCTTCCTTTTCTTCTGCATTTAGCCCATTCCTATTCGAGCTATTTGAATTTCAAAAACGTTTGATTATGTCTAAGAGGTTTCCTCGAGTAAATCACCTTGCTCTACCGGTAACATTACTACTCCACTTTATCCGTGTTTTTTCGCGATTTCTTATCGACGCTCTTTTTCATAGTGTACACAAAACACTCGGAATCGAATTCATTCAATTCCGTTTCCTCGAGAATGGAAAACTTTGATTTGTGTTACAAAAAGAAGAAAAAACCTTTGACAATATTTCATAGCGTTTTCTGGTAGGTAATATTATTTCGAGTTGTATTGTAATTTATTACGCGGACGAAATGTAACAGACATTTACTGCTCCAGCTCTGGAAATTTAATGTCCTCAAAACTGAGACACATGGAGTAGTTACCTATATTTTCATTTGAAGTATTTCGAAATACTTCGAGACGAGGGTCGTTGGAAACGTACGTAATATCGAAAAAGGCTGTAATCGAGCTAATTTAATATTGATAAACAATTTTTAAATCCGCCCAAAGGTTTATTAGCATATCAAAAAACATGCCGAAAAATTCCGCGCTGACCTAATTTTCCACCAGCATCGGCTGCTTGGCGAGCGGCGGGAATGTTTTGTTTTTATTACCCCTACAGGCAAGGGCAAAACCGGCGGGGTTGGAATTTTATTTTCGTCGCCGATTCGCCGTGGATTCCGAATTCCAAATTTACCGATTTCACGAGGGTTATTTTCGTATTTAATATTACAACTCGATGAACGTGCACGTCGTTCGCCGTTTTATGTCGCGATATGCAGACGAGCTTCGCAGGCCGCGAGAAAATTCGCAATCGTCTCGGAAAATTCACGATGGGTATCAGGTGTCACCGGCGGTTATTACCGCAACATTTACCTTTTTACTGCAAGCAAAATTAGAGGAAAAAGTCAATACCAAATTCCATATATTATGCCTATCTTCATTAATTGCGTTCATTAATCTTTCTGGAGTTTGTTTTGTGCCTATGAACTACGTGTGGACTATGACCAATCTTCCTTTTGCACGCTACTAAGGAAACAGCTCATCTATTTTCTTGATTGATCACTTTAGCTGTATATTTTGTTAATCCTACATTAAGTCCGCACGTTTCGAAAAATACGAATTACATCTACATCAACCCATCATTTACAAGTATATGCTAATATAATTTCGACGAGGAGTAGTGTCGGAAGAGTTGTCGCATTATCGCCGAATTAAAGCGCCATTCGCAGAGAAAAGACGTCATATCAGATAATAAATACGTGCTTTTCGAGTGCCTCAGCCTTAGGTTTTTACGGCTATTCGTCAAGATACGATGATTTAAGATTAGAAGAAATGGAGCGTGCTCGAGATTAGAATCCTCCCCGGTCGCGGTCGCTTCTCGAATGGAAAATTTATTTTCCGTTCGTGCGACGGCTAACTTTACGTCCACTATCTGGGTATTTACGAGTTTTTTGCGTCCGCAGTTTACGATATTGTTTTTATTATTATTTTTCCTATTGATCGCTTTGGTAAGTAACGCACGTTCTATTTTCGGTGTTTTCCTACTTCCCGAGGGAAAACGCCCGTTCCAAATAATTTCGCTATTATTTAGAAAATTAACGGAATAAATTTATAATAGGACGATAGTTGACGAAGAAAGGAAGTTTATTAAGAAAGTCATAAAGTAGGATCAGAGTTATTACAAACTTATGGCATTTATTATGGGAAAACTAAAGTAATATTTACTTTGTAGCGAATGCATTAAATGTGCATAATTTAGCATTATTAATTAAATATGTACGTTTATTACACACTTTTGAGTGTATAAAAGCTCTAACGTATCCACCAAAAGTAATTTGTTTATGCTTCCTAAGCCAATAAGTCAATAAACTTTTTATAGGAATAAATATTGGCAAAACTTAAGCAGTCATCAGTAAAAGTTGGAAGAATGCCAATAAATAATGCAAGAAAAACATCGAGGGAGAAAGCTAAAAAATTGGTAATACCAAAAAAACCAGTAAAAGTTTCCCGAAACAACTGTAGGTACCACACAACTCAAATTTCCAATCGAATTCGAACAGGGTGCTGCGTGATGAAAAATAATAACTTCCTTTATATGAATAAAGGGCGAACATATTTTCCGAAATAAGTTAATCGTTCGGTTTCGGTGCGGCTCACGATGGGGCGGCGCGCGAAGCCGTGTTTATTATTAACTTTCTTGAGGGTGCGTTTGGGGCCGGGAGGGTGGTAGGGCGATTTCTTGGCTATAATGTAGTCCCGTGCGGAACGGAATGAGTTGCGGCGTGAGCAGATAATTTTGAAGTGGTTTCTTTGGTATATCAACGGGCGGGAGGGTAGGAGCATCAGGAGTAAAGTATTTTTTATTAATATCTAACTCGCATTTGCTAAATATGTTGACCATCTGACAAATATAAGCACAAGAGATTTCTTTATCCTCCACACTTGGCAAATACGTATAGAATTGAATTAATCTCGTGAAGAGTCACATAACAATGGAAATGTTCGGTGCGCGTAAAATGGCCAGCTTTTTTCAAAATCACAATCTACGACTGATGGCTTTTCGTATTCCATTCGGTCAAAAAGGAATCCATCTTTTGACAGACGTCAAGGAACAAAGGGAGCCACGTCTAGCACGAGCAGTCGCTTTTGATAGATCGTATCGCATCGTTCGCGAGAAAGGGAAATTTAATTATCCTGACTCGTTGGAAGTTCGAAGGCGCCACGACGTCCATACCATTTAGGTACTTTCGAAATCAAGAAGTATCGTAGGAATAACTACGATAACACAAATATTACCTTTTTCCGTGCAAAATCCTTTAAAAATGATATTTCAAAAGGCGAAAATCGACCTACCAATTCGCATAATCCCCCTTTTCCATTTGGATTTCGAACGTATTGTTTGTAAATCCGAACCAACAACTTCACCGCCTGCCAGCATTAACAGCAGTCTTTTATCGCAATTATTTTCTATCTCCTTTTCATCCATTCGGCGGTAATTTCAATCTGAAATTAACGAAAAATCCCTTTCCGCGAATCATCTGGAAGTTTTCGAATAATTTACCTTTCGCGTTCGGCAGGATGAACGCCGACTTGTCTCGTTTTCTATTATACGTGGAAACGATGGAAACTTTCCTCCGAGATAACTGCGGACGCTTCCAATAAGTGCGAGCAGACTTCGATTTCTGATTTAATGGAATTATAATGGAAGAATAATATCGTTTACTTGCTGTTGCGAAATGACGAGACTGCGATAAAAGGGTATTTTTCGAATGAGTTCGAATTTACGCCGATTCGCGTATTTACGATAATGGTTCAGACGTAGGAAGTGCATTATTGTTAATATTCCTCGGTATTAAGTACCGCGGATGGCGAAATAAAATGAAAAAGTTTTATTGTCGTAATTAATTTTATTACACTCCTTCTATTGGGGTGTATTTGCACTACTAAAATCTACTTCTTCGTCTAATTTTCACTCGAATTACACCTTTCTTTTCGATTGTCTTATCGATTCGCCCAATAATTTATCCCCTATTCTAGTTTTTTATCTAGTGTTTAATCCGACTGCATTAATTCCGGATGCACGATAAATCACCACAAATGGATCACGAACATCGCTGTCGTAAATAACGGTTAAAAATCAAATAAAGCGGTTATTACACCATTTTTAACTTTCGCAACACAATAAATGTCACATTTCGTGCCATACAAAAAATCCCACGTTCAAGAACACATCGTATCGCGATCTTTTATTGCAGCATTTGGCGCGGAGCGAGCCGATACACGTGCGTACATAAAAATTTAGATATTCTCAAATTTACTATAATGATTTTTAGACTATAATACCAGAATTTAGATATATCCATTGATCGGTGCACCGGATTTCTTCACCGGATTTCAACATAAAAAAATAATAGTACTTAAAAGAATATCTACCTAAAACTTGCAAAATGGACATTAAATTAATTCCCCATAGAGAGTAGAAGAGAATTCCGGTGCGCCCCTAATATTGATTTATTATGAGGGAACGAAAAGAGTTTAATGCAAATAACTGAAGGATGAGAACTAATGATTAACGGGGGGTAGGTTAAGAAATTTAATTAGTAAAAAGTATGCTTTATTTATTTAAATTGGGAATTTCATCCCTTTGCTACGACTATGTTACAGTCGTTCCGTTCAAAGCGTATACGGAGTATATGAGGTTAAACTCCATTTTCTATTTCAAGGTACATTACAGGTGAAAAATACAATTTTGCCGGCATTATGTTTTCGCATTCCTCTTTTCAAACGAACGACCGACGGTTTTTTTTTCATTACGCAATTTACATGTTTCGTGCATATGCTTTTTTCGGTGAAATTTTCGTTATTTCTGCGACAAATTTTCAATCTGCGATATCGTATAGAGTTTTCAGTTATTATCGTCGTCTCCCTGGCTCGTGAAACACTATAGTTAATGACTAAAATTTAATTGCATCGACACCTTTCTCACTGCGCTGCCAAATACATACAGAGGTATAATAAATTCAAACATCAAACATCACGACACAAAAGAATATGCGAGGAAAACCGCGGCACAACAATCATACCTACAAAGCGGAGTGACTAAAAGGGAATGGATATTTCAAATAATAAATGAACGTGTTATATATCCGAGTAATTAGTCGGCGAGCCAATCCAAACATCGAATTTCCCTACAGGACCAAAACCTACAGATTCAACAATTTTCAAATTTCGTTCTCTTAATACATAATTTAGCCACACGAATGCAATGCGAAAATCCTGAGATAGAACTAAAATAAACTAAAGTTCGAACCGAACTTACGACAACTGTTTAACCCCACGTAATATTATAAATATATGCAGTCGCAGACTAGTGTTTACAGTATGGTGGTGAATGGGAGAATAACAATGAAGCACGTAACAATGCCATCGTATACGCTACATACACGTATATAGGCGGGCCGTATATCTGCATGTCTGCGTGATTGCGA